AGTTGAGTAACATCGCCCTTAGATAAGTAACATCTCCCTTAGTTGAGTAACATCTCCCTTAGTTGAGTAACATCTCCCTTAGATAAGTAACATCTCCCTTAGATAAGTAACATCTCCCTTAGTTGAGTAACATCTCCCTTAGTTGAGTAACATCGCCCTTAGTTGAGTAACATCTCCCTTAGTTGAGTAACATCGCCCTTAGATAAGTAACATCTCCCTTAGTTGAGTAACATCTCCCTTAATTGAGTAACATCGCCCTTAGTTGAGTAACATCTCCCTTAGTTGAGTAACATCTCCCTTAGTTGAGTAACATCTCCCTTAGTTGAGTAACATCTCCCTTAGATAAGTTACATCGCCCTTAGATAAGTAACATCTCCCTTAGTTGAGTAACATCTCCCTTAATTGAGTAACATCGCCCTTAGTTGAGTAACACCTCCCTTAGTTGAGTAACATCTCCCTTAGTTGAGTAACATCTCCCTTAGTTGAGTAACATCTCCCTTAGATAAGTTACATCGCCCTAAGATAAGTAACATCTCCCTTAGTTGAGTAACATCTCCCTTAGTTGAGTAACATCTCCCTTAGTTGAGTAACATCGCCCTTAGATAAGTAACATCTCCCTTAGTTGAGTAACATCTCCCTTAGTTGAGTAACATCTCCCTTAGATAAGTAACATCTCCCTTAGGTGAGTAACACCTCCCTTAGTTGAGTAACATCTCCCTTAGTTGAGTAACATCTCCCTTAGATAAGTAACATCTCCCTTAGTTGAGTAACATCTCCCTTAGTTGAGTAACATCGCCCTTAGTTGAGTAACATCTCCCTTACTTGAGTAACATCGCCCTTAGATAAGTAACATCTCCCTTAGTTGAGTAACATCTCCCTTAGTTGAGTAACATCTCCCTTAGTTGAGTAACATCTCCCTTAGATAAGTAACATCGCCCTTAGATAAGGAACGTCTCCCTTAGTTGAGTAACATCTCCCTTAGTTGAGTAACATCTCCCTAAGATAAGTAACATCGCCCTTAGATAAGTAACATCTCCCTTAGTTGAGTAACATCTCCCTTAGTTGAGTAACATCTCCCTTAGTTGAGTAACATCTCCCTTAGATAAGTAACATCTCCCTTAGTTGAGTAACATCTCCCTTAGTTGAGTAACATCTCCCTTAGTTGAGTAACATCTCCCTTAGATAAGTAACATCTCCCTTAGATAAGTAACATCTCCCTTAGTTGAGTAACATCTCCCTTAGTTGAGTAACATCTCCCTTAGTTGAGTAACATCTCCCTTAGTTGAGTAACATCGCCCTTAGATAAGTAACATCTCCCTTAGTTGAGTAACATCTCCCTTAGTTGAGTAACATCTCCCTTAGATAAGTAACATCTCCCTTAGTTGAGTAACATCTCCCTTAGTTGAGTAACATCTCCCTTAGTTGAGTAACATCTCCCTTAGATAAGTTACATCGCCCTTAGATAAGTAACATCTCCCTTAGTTGAGTAACATCTCCCTTAGTTGAGTAACATCTCCCTTAGATAAGTAACATCTCCCTTAGTTGAGTAACATCTCCCTTAGTTGAGTAACATCTCCCTTAGATAAGTAACATCTCCCTTAGTTGAGTAACATCGCCCTTAGATAAGTAACATCTCCCTTAGTTGAGTAACATCTCCCTTAGTTGAGTAACATCTCCCTTAGATAAGTAACATCTCCCTTAGTTGAGTAACATCTCCCTTAGTTGAGTAACATCTCCCTTAGTTGAGTAACATCTCCCTAAGATAAGTAACATCGCCCTTAGATAAGTAACATCTCCCTTAGTTGAGTAACATCTCCCTTAGTTGAGTAACATCTCCCTTAGATGAGTAACATCTCCCTTAGTTGAGTAACATCTCCCTTAGATAAGTAATATCTCCCTTAGATGAGTAACATCGCCCTTAGTTGAGTAACATCTCCCTTAGTTGAGTAACATCTCCCTTAGTTGAGTAACATCGCCCTTAGATAAGTAACATCTCCCTTAGTTGAGTAACATCTCCCTTAGTTGAGTAACACCTCCCTTAGTTGAGTAACATCTCCCTTAGATAAGTAACATCTCCCTTAGTTGAGTAACATCTCCCTTAGTTGAGTAACATCTCCCTTAGTTGAGTAACATCTCCCTTAGTTGAGTAACATCTCCCTTAGTTGAGTAACATCTCCCTTAGATAAGGTACATCGCCCTTAGATAAGTAACATCTCCCTTAGATAAGGTACATCGGCCTTAGATAAGTAACATCTCCCTTAGTTGAGTAACATCTCCCTTAGTTGAGTAACATCTCCCTTAGTTGAGTAACATCTCCCTTAGTTGAGTAACATCTCCCTTAGATAAGTAACATCTCCCTTAGTTGAGTAACATCTCCCTTAGTTGAGTAACATCTCCCTTAGTTGAGTAACATCTCCCTTAGTTGAGTAACATCTCCCTTAGTTGAGTAACATCTCCCTTAGATAAGTAACATCTCCCTTAGTTGAGTAACATCTCCCTTAGTTGAGTAACATCTCCCTTAGTTGAGTAACATCTCCCTTAGATAAGTAACATCTCCCTTAGTTGAGTAACATCTCCCTTAGTTGAGTAACATCTCCCTTAGTTGAGTAACATCTCCCTTAGTTGAGTAACATCTCCCTTAGATAAGTAACATCTCCCTTAGTTGAGTAACATCTCCCTTAGTTGAGTAACATCTCCCTCAGTTGAGTAACATCTCCCTTAGTTGAGTAACATCTCCCTTAGTTGAGTAACATCTCCCTTAGATAAGTAACATCTCCCTTAGTTGAGTAACATCTCCCTTAGTTGAGTAACATCTCCCTTAGTTGAGTAACATCTCCCTTAGATAAGTAACATCGCCCTTAGATAAGTAACATCTCCCTTAGTTGAGTAACATCTCCCTTAGTTGAGTAACATCTCCCTTAGTTGAGTAACATCTCCCTTAGTTGAGTAACATCTCCCTTAGATAAGTAACATCTCCCTTAGTTGAGTAACATCTCCCTTAGTTGAGTAACATCTCCCTTAGTTGAGTAACATCTCCCTTAGATAAGTAACATCTCCCTTAGTTGAGTAACATCTCCCTTAGTTGAGTAACATCTCCCTTAGTTGAGTAACATCTCCCTTAGTTGAGTAACATCTCCCTTAGATAAGTAACATCGCCCTTAGATAAGTAACATCTCCCTTAGATAAGTAACATCTCCCTTAGTTGAGTAACATCTCCCTCAGTTGAGTAACATCTCCCTTAGATGAGTAACATCTCCCTTAGATAAGTAACATCTCCCTTAGTTGAGTAACACCTCCCTTAGTTGAGTAACACCTCCCTTAGATGAGTAACATCTCCCTTAGTTGAGTAACATCTCCCTTAGTTGAGTAACATCTCCCTTAGATAAGTAACATCTCCCTTAGTTGAGTAACATCTCCCTCAGTTGAGTAACATCTCCCTTAGTTGAGTAACATCTCCCTTAGATAAGTAACATCTCCCTTAGTTGAGTAACATCTCCCTTAGTTGAGTAACATCTCCCTTAGTTGAGTAACATCTCCCTTAGATAAGTAACATCTCCCTTAGTTGAGTAACATCTCCCTTAGATAAGTAACATCTCCCTTAGTTGAGTAACATCTCCCTTAGTTGAGTAACATCTCCCTTAGATAAGTAACATCTCCCTTAGATAAGTAACATCTCCCTTAGATAAGTAACATCTCCCTTAGTTGAGTAACATCTCCCTCAGTTGAGTAACATCTCCCTTAGATGAGTAACATCTCCCTTAGATAAGTAACATCTCCCTTAGTTGAGTAACACCTCCCTTAGTTGAGTAACATCTCCCTTAGTTGAGTAACACCTCCCTTAGTTGAGTAACACCTCCCTTAGATGAGTAACATCTCCCTTAGTTGAGTAACATCTCCCTTAGTTGAGTAACATCTCCCTTAGATAAGTAACATCTCCCTTAGTTGAGTAACATCTCCCTCAGTTGAGTAACATCTCCCTTAGATAAGTTACATCGCCCTTAGATAAGTAACATCTCCCTTAGATAAGTAACATCTCCCTTAGATAAGTAACATCTCCCTTAGATAAGTAACATCTCCCTTAGATAAGTAACATCTCCCTTAGTTGAGTAACATCTCCCTCAGTTGAGTAACATCTCCCTTAGATAAGTAACATCTCCCTTAGATAAGTAACATCTCCCTTAGTTGAGTAACATCTCCCTCAGTTGAGTAACATCTCCCTTAGATAAGTAACATCACCCTTAGTTGAGTAACACCTCCCTTAGTTGAGTAACATCCCCCTTAGTTGAGTAACATCTCCCTTAGATAAGTAACATCTCCCTTAGTTGAGTAACACCTCCCTTAGTTGAGTAACATCTCCCTTAGTTGAGTAACATCTCCCTTAGATAAGTAACATCTCCCTTAGTTGAGTAACATCTCCCTCAGTTGAGTAACATCGCCCTTAGATAAGTTACATCTCCCTTAGATGAGTAACATCTCCCTTAGTTGAGTAACACCTCCCTTAGTTGAGTAACATCTCCCTTAGTTGAGTAACATCTCCCTTAGATAAGTAACATCTCCCTTAGTTGAGTAACACCTCCCTTAGTTGAGTAACATCTCCCTTAGTTGAGTAACATCTCCCTTAGATAAGTAACATCTCTCTCAGGCCGGACCAATTTCTGGCCTTGTTTTACAGGTTGTCTTGCCCAATATGCAAAGATAGCCTATGTAACAAGGAGGTCAGAAGCGACTAGAAGTCAGTGATAAAGTGATGAACTGTTGCTTTAATACATGTTTATTCAGAGTATTGTTTCCTAATTGCAGTTTGGTCATGTTATAGATATAATAAAACTAGGATTTTGAAGTATATTAAAGCTTCATTTCCAAGGAGAGAGTGTGTATTTTTGTCTTAAAATTTAGTGTAGTCTTGTCCTTTTATACAGTTGCCTTGCTTAATCCTAAATATCCAGATGCATATTTGATGTAGGGATGACCTCAGTGCTGCAGCTCGGCATGTGTTTCAGCCTGAAAGTCATCCCGCTACACTCCACCATCACCCAGGACGAACAGATGAGGGTGTTTGAGCCAGCACTCAAGGGGCAGAGGAAGGTTGGTGCATGACAGTGATTGTCAGGGACACAGATGAGACCATGTGGCCATCAATATTTTTTTGTCTGTTTCTCATCTCCAACCTCAACCAGCAAGAGGGGGGCATGTGAAAATAATTTTTAAAAAGCCAATATTTTTTTTATTTTTTTAACCAATTGCGTAACTTATTTTAGGACATTTTAAAGTTCAGAACACTTGGTACCAGTCTTAACATTAATTTAAGGCGTAGATTGACTTGCCCTTGGAAACAAATTCTTAATAAATATGGCCGAAGATAGATCAAGCCATCTTCCTGAGTCAAGGGCGTTAACTGTCTATGAAAGTCCAGTTTCCACCCTTGCCGAACTAGGCTGGAATTTTTGGGCTCAATTGTAGTGCCACCTGTGGCTATTATGAGTTATGTCCCTTCTGTGTCCCTCCTATTGACTAATCAGGTTCCACCTCTCATATAGATTGCATTTGCTTTGAGCGAAATAGCGGCGCCCAGTGAAGACAGTCTGATCGATAATCAAGATATATATTGTAATTAAGAGGATCTTACTTCGCAAAGTTCATCAAATCACATGAGTGTCTTGATTAAAACATTAATTTGACAAATATCTGTTGATGCCGAGCTGGTGGTACACATGCTTTGCAAATCCTGCAGTCGTCCTAAATCTGCTCGGCAGTTCACAAACCATCAATGTTGTTACACGATTGTGATTGGACTATGCATAGACTAGTCCAACCCAAACATAACTCCATAATTCCAGCCTAGTTTGACAAGGGTGGAAACTGGACTTATAAAGTCAGTTAACTCTCTCGCCTCAGGAAGATGAGATCAAGCTAACCCAGGGTTTTATGAGTAGAGTGGCAAGAGTATTTTATGGCATACATCTCCACAGCAATGGGAAGCATTGCCATAATTATTATTATTATTTTCCGTCTGAATGAAAATTCAGGGTGGGCGGGAGATGGGAGGCACAGAAAAAAATATTGATCTCCTCAGCAGCGTTACAGATTTCCAAGCTGCCTGAAGAGTGACTCTTCTACAAAATCTAGCCCCATGTATAAAACACCCTGACCCAATTCAATGATGCCTTATGACAGGAACTTCCTTAAAGATCTGTCAGATAGTAGGGAAGTTGGAGAGTTGTTTGTACATGAAACGCTGATGCTACTTGGTTGCATCTGACTGTTTGTTAATATGTACATAAGATGTTACAACACACAACAGAGCTGGCACCCAGACAAGTACACCAGAATCTCTGCTGCAACTGCTTAACATGGGCGCTCAGACCATGCCAGACCTGAGTGTGAGATGAACAGTTGTCTGACAATCACAAGGAGGCAAGAGCGTCCACTAGCCTTTTTATCAAAGTCTTGTTTCAACCCTTGCCACATCAACCTCACTTTCCTGTGCTAAATATGATTTGACTATTGCACATATCGATTGTCCATTCAGAGAACGTTTCACAAAATCAAAATCCACGACTGGTACACCCTCGTATGAAAGTGAATTACCACTGCCTGTCTATGTTGACAGGAATATGTCTTTTTCATCTTTTAAAAACCCAAATGATTGCCTATGTTTTGTGTCAGGGATGAAATTGCGAATGTTTTTGTTATCTGATCGACTAGGTCGCCGCCATCTTTGTGAAGCTATATGAGATAAGAACAGCGATCTGATTGGATATCATGTTTTCATTACAAGGGGCACAACTCGTGATCTATGCTAGGTGGCGCCTGGGTGGAGCCAAGAAATATGGCCTTGTGGCAAGGGTAGAAACTAGGCTTTGATATAGGCTAGTGGACATGCTTGCCTCGGGAAGATGAAGGGGGACATGAGTTGATGTACCCAAAGGGTGAGGGAAGATGACAGAACATAAACTTGGTGTTATTCCCCCTTGATCTCTGTCATTAAAACAATATCGTAACTAGCCGGAGAATGGCATCTTACGTAATTAATTCGAGATACAGAATTGTGGTTGTTATGTTCCAAATGTTACAGCAATTCAGCAATTCAAGCAGGGAATGGACATGGCATGTTAGCGGGGTACATGGAAAATAGTCAAATGTTTTTCGGCCAATCAGAACCTGACATTCATGTGTGAGGTAAGATAAATGTCATGTTTCATTCAGACCAGCACAGCCGCTCCTGAGTATGAGTTCCTAACAACCGTTCTAAAACTTCAACGGGTACAGTTCTGTGTGTCACGGATGTGACGTCACCTTCTCATGGCCGACACCATGTCAGGGCTGATCAGAGATTCTTGAATGCTAGACTTATGGAATGGACAGGTTAATATGCTGTGTACTCAGTAAAAACAGCCTCCATTACATACATGAGAGATGACTAAATAAAACCAAGCTCCATCAGCAGAAAGAACTTCTCCTTTTGGCTTTATAAAAGACGTTAAAGAACAACTGATTCTTTCATAAGTTGTCTTGTTGGTGTCTCCATGTTATGTGAATGACATTCAAGTACCGTTAATCCCGAAGGTTGTTCTGACGTGATCTTTAATGAGATGCCCTCGGCGATAGCAAGAACTTGTATCTGATTTTAATGAGATTGAAGTAATCTAAGCATGTGATTAATCCTGTTTTGTTTATTTAAAGCATTAATTGTTTATTGTTAAGCAAGTTTATCTCTTCAGTCGTTGTAATATGCAGTTACCAGCCGACTCATCTCGCATCAAAACACGGGCTGTGTACTTGCGGGCAGATGACCAATGAGTACGCTGATCACTGTGTCGGACTAACGAGACTGATTAATGAGTGATTTCGGTAATTCGTTGCAGATTAGGTGTGCGGGAGTCGAGAATAACGGGTCTAAATAGCACTGATTTATCGGTTCCCAATATTAGTGTCCGATAAAGCCTATTGTCGGATTAACGAGACTTGACTGTACACTGGTTGTTTTGTAGGTGATACTCTCTACCAACATCGCTGAGTCGTCTATCACTGTTCCAGACATCAAGTATGGTATGTATGTGTCTGTCCCTGAGGGCTCTCAAGCTGATCTGAAGCATATTGTTTCAAATATCTCCTTCAACACATTCAAACAAGCATACACAAATTGTCAGTTCAGCTGGTTAAGGATCCGTGAAGGTCGTTGAGGGTGCAAGCCACTCCCCTGAATCTGAATACAACCAAACACAAAACTCAAAATCACACGTACAAAGGCAGAATGTGAATCACAGACAGAAACTTGTAGGACACGTTCCTAGGTCAAAAAAGGGAGCAATTTGAAGTTGAATTACTGAATGTAATATTGAAAAAGTATAATTTGTAAAGGAAGTTTTTATGCATAGGAAATGTTTTAGTTTATGCAATTTTATTTGTGTCTCTTGTACCCTGTATTGAGTTCCAAGTACCCTCTAAATTGACCCCCAAATCCTGTGTAACAAGAGTGCTTTGTTTCGCCTAGGTTTTGTTTCAAACCATTATTGATTTAATAAGTCCCATATGGATATTGTGTCACAATCGTTGGCCACCCTATTATGTCAATATTGATCCTGTCAAAAGTCTGGATGATAACATGGATTAATGGGAGCCCAGTCGTGTAAGGCGCCGCGATTCGCTGTGCAGAGTTGCGTCCCTTTGGCACGCCAGAAACCTATGATTGTGGGTTCGAATCCCGGTTCACCCCAATTTTGTTTCTAGGTTTGTCAGCACCATACGTGTGCTCATGGGTTTCACCGAAGTGGTAAACGTCTGAGACCTGCATCACTCCTGGCTTTCCTCCCACATTAAGCTGACACGCCGTGATATAACTGGAATACTGTTAAAAGCGGCGTTAAACCCAACTCACTCACTCACTCACTCAATTGTAGACAGGTCATATAAGAACACCTTAAGGTATATATTTGTCAGTATTCAAGTCACTGAGCAGGTTGGATTAGAATTGATCTTCGACATCCTGTGCTTAGGCTACTAACAGGGTCGGTGGACCGTGCTCTCCCTGACTTGGTTGATGCATGTCATTGTATCGCAGTTGCGTAGATAGATCATAATGTCAATCACTAGATTGTCTGGTCCAGAGTTGATTATTTACAAACCGCATCATATAGCTGGAATACTGCTGAGTGCTGCTTAAAACAACAAACACACAAACACACAAACAAAGCAAGTCACAATGGTCTAAGAAGCTACAGTACATACCCATTGTTGAGTCCATGACTCAACATGGATCCAATGGCCAAATCATTTGGCACTAATCACACCTAAATGTCCTGTTGCATGTGTAGTTATCGACTTCTGCCTCACCAAGAACCTGGTGTGCGACCCCATGACCAACTACACCCATCTGATTGTGGACTGGGCAGCCAAATCCAACTGTACACAGAGGAAAGGTCAGCAATCCCAGTTCTTCTACACAGGCCTATGTTGGCCTCAACACTTTAACTAACTGCAGTTGTTGGGATAAGAATAGTTTGAGTACATATTTCACTGATCCGTGAACATCCAGGTAAGAATTGGTTTCAGCAGCTCATGCTTGTTGTAAGAGGCGACTAACGGGATCGGGTGGTCAGACTCGCTGACTTGGTTGATGCATGTCATGGTATCCCTATTGTGTAAATCAATGCTCATGATGTCAATCACTAGATTGTCTGGTCCAGACTTGATTATTTACAGACCGTCGTCATATAGCTGGAATATTGCTGAGTTCAGCGTTAAACAACAAACCAACAAACAAAAACAAACATATTACAGTGTATGAAAAGCCTTGAGTTATTGTGTCAATAGCTATGCGAAGTTTATAAGGAGAGGTTCAAGAAGTCTTCCTGGGCTCCGTTCTACAAAGATATCATAGCCCTACGACTGTCATAAGACAATGTTAAAGTATGGGAGTTTGACTGTCTTAGCGCCAGACATAAACATGCTAAAGGGGACACTTAAAAATCATCATTTTGAAAAAAAAATAACTTGTGTTGATGAATATTGTACAAAGCCAGGGATAAATGTTCTTTCTAAAAAATAATCAGATATAAATAGGATGTGATCAAGCTCAGAGAAGAGGATGGAGGCCAGTTTTCTCCATTACTACTCCTTACTGTCTAGCTCAGTGTGAAATTTCGTACACCGAGACTGAAGATGGTTCAAGTGAGCTAAACATTTTCGTGAGTGTCGTGCACAGCGGCACTCTGGAGAAACCTACATTTCTATCCCTGTATCATGATTAAGGGACATGTTGATTTGCTGTGCAGAGTTGCGTCCCTTGGACACGCCAGAAACCTATGATTGTGGGATCGAATCCCGGTTCGCCCTGATTATGTTTTTAGGTTTGTCAGCACCATACCCGTGCTCATGGGTTTCACCGAAGTAGTAAACATTCACTCACTCACTCACTCACTCACTCACTCACTCACTCACTCACTCACTCACTCACTCACTCACTCACTCACTCACTCACTCACTCACTCACTCACTCATGATTATTTGACGTTTCCAAGACAAATGTGTGAATGTTATTCCACGCGTGTTGACAGGTCGAGCTGGACGTGTTTCCAACGGCCGCTGCTACTTCATGGTGACTAAGACATTCTTCAGTCAATGTCTGCCTGATTATGGAATACCAGAGATGCAGGTACAGATGTCAGGACCTCACAAACATATTTTCCTACTGACAAGTTGTCTTGTGATGAAATGCGTGTTGTGTGGTGCCACAATGGGTTGTGTGTGCCTAACAGTGCAGAGTTGTGTCCCTTGGTTAACCAGAAACCTATGGTTGTGGGTTCAAAGCCTGGTTTGCCTTGAGTTTGTTTCTAGGTTTGTCAACAGTCTGAGACTTGCACCACTTCGGGCTTTTCTCCCACAATGTCGTAAGAGGACCTGGTTAGTGATTGATGATAGCGAAGGAATGTATGTTGAGTGATGGCACAACGTCCTACATGTGCCTGGATAGTGATTGATGATAGCCAAGGAATTTTGTGTTGTGTGGTGCCACAATGTCCTATGCGGGCCTTGTGTTTTTTCAATTTATCCCCTGTTTTTTATGTGTTGTGTTGTGTGATCTATTCACTTATTTCTATGTGTTGTGTGATCTATTCACTGACTTCTATGTGTTGTGCGATCTATTCACTGACCTCTATGTGTTGTGCGATCTATTCACTGACCTCTATGTGTTGTGTGATCTATTCACTGACTTCTGTGTTGTGTGATCTATTCACTGACTTCTATGTGTTGTGCGATCTATTCACTGACTTCTATGTGTTGTGTGATCTATTCACTGACTTCTATGTGTTGTGCGATCTATTCACTGACCTCTATGTGTTGTGTGATCTATTCACTGACTTCTATGTGTTGTGTGATCTATTCACTGACTTCTATGTGTTGTGCGATCTATTCACTGACTTCTATGTGTTGTGTGATCTATTCACTGACTTCTATGTGTTGTGCAATCTATTCACTGACCTCTATGTGTTGTGTGATCTATTCACTGACTTCTATGTGTTGTGTGATCTATTCACTGACTTCTATGTGTTGTGTGATCTATTCAATGACTTCTATGTGTTGTGCGATCTATTCACTGACTTCTATGTGTTGTGCGATCTATTCACTGACTTCTATGTGTTGTGTGATCTATTCACTGACTTCTATGTGTTGTGTGATCTATTCACTGACTTCTATGTGTTGTGTGATCTATTCACTGACCTCTATGTGTTGTGTGATCTATTCACTGACTTCTATGTGTTGTGTGATCTATTCACTGACTTCTATGTGTTGTGCGATCTATTCACTGACTTCTATGTGTTGTGCGATCTATTCACTGACTTCTATGTGTTGTGTGATCTATTCACTGACTTCTATGTGTTGTGTGATCTATTCACTGACTTCTATGTGTTGTGCGATCTATTCACTGACTTCTATGTGTTGTGCGATCTATTCACTGACTTCTATGTGTTGTGTGATCTATTCACTGACCTCTATGTGTTGTGTGATCTATTCACTGACCTCTATGTGTTGTGTGATCTATTCACTGACTTCGTTGTGTTGTGCGATCTATTCACTGACTTCTATGTGTTGTGTGATCTATTCACTGACTTCTATGTGTTGTGTGATCTATTCACTAACCTCTATGTGTTGTGTGATCTATTCACTGACCTCTATGTGTTGTGTGATCTATTCACTGACTTCTATGTGTTGTGTGATCTATTCACTGACCTCTATGTGTTGTGTGATCTATTCACTGACCTCTATGTGTTGTGTGATCTATTCACTGACTTCGTTGTGTTGTGCGATCTATTCACTGACTTCTATGTGTTGTGTGATCTATTCACTGACTTCTATGTGTTGTGTGATCTATTCACTAACCTCTATGTGTTGTGTGATCTATTCACTGACCTCTATGTGTTGTGTGATCTATTCACTGACTTCTTTGTGTTGTGCTCAGCGCTGTCCCTTGGAGACCCTGGTTCTAAAGACGAAGATCTTCAACATGGGGGAGCCGAGACGTCTGCTGGGTCTAGCCCTGTCCCCTCCCAGACTGGACGATATTGAGAGAACTATCCTCAACCTGAAAGAAGTATTACCTCCTTCATTTTCTTCAATGACAATGGACCCTTAAAGATCCATGTAGAATAGGTCTTCAGCAACCCATGCTTGCCGTAAAAGGCAACTATTCTTGTCGTAAGAGGCGACTAACGGTATCGGGTGGTCAGGCTCACTGACTTGGTTGATGCATGTCATTGTATCCCAATTGCGTGGATTGATGCTCATGATGTCAATCACTGGAGTGTCTGGTCCAGACTCAATTATTTACAGACCGGCGTCACATAGCTGGAATATTGCTGAATGCAGCATTGAGCAACAGTTAAAAAAACAAAATCAATGACATGTGTTAGTTCAAGAAATATGTGCAAATGAATGAAAAGGCATTCAGATCTATCCCTTACATAACTCAGGGTCCGACAGTTTTCTATATTTATGAATGACAAAATATGCCGTATACATACTCCATGTCGCTGTCATTAAACAAAAAAACTTAAATACGATATCAACTTACAAGTTTCTGTGAATACATGAAAATGCAGAATTTAGAACAAGACTTTCTTAAACTCTTAGCATTGTGTGTGTATATGTGCAGCAATCTCAGTTGCCTATTTGTCAATGTACGGAGCTTCGATGCCGTTCAGGGCAATCTTGACAGACACATCAGGTAACTTGTCTGCCTGCTTGTTCCAGTGTGAGTATGATTATTGACAAGTGATGTGGTCTACAAAGAATCCAGTGACTTGGTTTTGTTCCAGGTGGGGGCCCTTGCCACGTCAAACAACACATTGAACAGCCAGTATGATGGAGAGCTGACTTTCATCGGGAGGGTACTCGCGGACCTGCCAGTCGATATCCGTATCGGGAAACTGCTTGTCCTTGGACATGTCTTCTGTCTTCTGGAAGAATGTCTTATCATTGGGGCAGCACTGTCGCTCAAGAGTATTTTTGCAAGACCTTTCAAGGCCAAGCTGAAAGCTTTTGAGTGAGTGTGTTTTAGGTGAAAGTGCTCAATGTATTGGCTGTTTTGTGTACTACTTGTAGCGGCCATAAAATTTCCGAGTCCTGTGATGGGATTCGAACCACGGACCTTCTGATCCGAGGTTGGACGCCTTGTCCACATGACCAAAGAGGTTAACCCCGTCAGCAAGCTGACAAGGTAAGGATGTCATCTGTGGGATGACTCCACGCCCTGCTACATACTCCCCCGTCAACAGAAGGCATGTCCCGGGCCACATAGTAGGGTACTGAGGCTTATTTTGCTTAATGTAATATGAACGTGCTCGGCCCCACGCTGGGCGCCAAATCTGTAGCCGGGGTGGTGTTTATGATCCGGCTCGGGCCGTTCGAGAACACAGACACAGGACCCATATTACTACTCAAGAAATGTTAAGGACGACCCAAGCATTTAATATTACTATACTTAATCTTAGTTGAACTGTTTTTGTTAGAATATTAGTATTTTGGTTCTGTATAACTTTCATTGGAAAAAGAACTAGGATAATGACAAATTCTTTGACCAGTCCAGCTTGATAGCCAATCAAAGCTGTCAGTGATCAGGGAGAAATTGACCTTGACCTGTATATAAGCCTGACAAATATTTTTTAGATTTAGGCCAAATTCTCTGTAAAATCTCACATTACGTACATGAATATGTGAAGTATGACAGAAAGTTAGTCAGTTTGCTTGGTTTGTTGTTTAGTGCTGTACTTGGCAGTATCTTTAATTCATCTTCCCAAGGCAAGCATGTCCAATAGCCTATATCAAAGCCTAGTTTCTACCCTTGCCACATCAAGGCCACTATTCTTTGCTCGACTCTGGTGCCACCTCGCGTAGATCACAAGTTGTGCCCCTTGTAATAAAAACATGATATCCAATCAGATCCCTGTTCTTGTCTCGTATAGCTTCACAAAGATGGCCACTTACCAGAGGCGGCTACGTAGTCGATCAGATATGAAAACATTCGCTATTTCATCCCTGAAACACAAAAACATAGCAATCATTTGGGGGGTTAAAAGATGAAAAAGACATATTCCTGTCAACATAGACAGGCAGTGGTAAATCACTTTCATACAAAGGTGTAGCAGTTGTTTATGTTGAACATTCTCTGATTGGACTATCGATATGTGCAATAGTCCGATCATATTTAGCACAGGAAAATGGGCTTGATGTGGCAAGGGTGGAAACAAGACTTTGATAAAAAGGTTGGTGGAAGCTCTTGCCTTGGAAAGATGTCTTCAGTGGTGTTCGACAGAGGATCTGTAGTTGACTGTGTACCTGTTCATCTGGTTGACACTCATCTGATACTGGCTTCTGGATATTTTTTTTATGGTTATTGATGGATGGCTTTCCTGCTTGTTCAATTTTTAGAGAAGGCAGATTATTATATAAACATGGGTCAAATGTGATAATACACCAAATAAGTCAGTATCAACAAGGTGTTTTATGTGATATGTGATATGTGACTACAACTTGTCCATCAATATTAAGATGGCCAGTGGCCATATACAATGCTATGAATAGGGTATCAGACTGGTTCATGGAGGATTAACAATATTCTACCATGAATTTGGAAATTACTAGATTCTGATTGGTCAATCAGAGGCTATTGAATCACAGTAAACCCCAAATCACTGAAACAGCTGGTTTGATGTCCGCATCACCGTGGAAGCTAATATTCATATGATAGTACTTATTTTCGGTCGTTGTCAGTAGGCATATTAAAATAATTATATCACAAAATACAAAAGGTTTGTGGCAATACATTTTGTGCAGAAAACAAGATAGAAATCGATGTTTTGGGGATAACTGAGAGCTTGGTATTTGCGGCTTTTCTGTTCGAGTGAAGTATTACAGTGTAAACAAACTACTTGAGCATATACAGCGCCATATTTTGTTTACAGGCTGTTGTCGGTGATTCTGTAATTCAGATCGATAACCCACTCAAAACACTGGACTCAACCCATGCCTCTTCACTCAGTATATTTGCAAACACCAAAGAGATCACATTCTATTTAGACATGGTAGAATGGAGATAAACATACTGTGTTTTCAATGTAGAGCTTGGTTGCCTGTAACTGTGCTAAATATAACATTTGACATGTCACGCTGCGTTTTCGGGTCCAAATTCAATTTAGTGTGGTTAAATCTACAGGTTACCTTGCTCTCCATTGAAAACACAGTATGTTTATCTCCTAATTGATCATGTTGATGGTGTAAACCAAATTCTATATCTGGACATGTCTTATAGCGACGAGGGCACAGCACGGGTAGCCCAGTCGTCTACGGCACCGCGATTCGCTGTGCAGAGATGCGTCCCTTGGGCACGCCAGAAACCTATGATTGGGGGATCGAATGCCGGTTCATCCTGATTATGTTTCTAGGTTTAAAGGCACCATACCCGTGCTCGTGGGTTTCACTGAAGTGGTAAACATCTGAGACTTGCATCACTTAGGGCTTTCCTCCCACATTAAGCTGACAGGCCACGATATAACTGGAATACTGGTAAAATTGGCATTAAACCCAACTCACTCACTAACTCTAATATAAACACAGTTCAAGGATTCAAGGGTCACTGCTACATGACATAGATCCAATACTCACAAATAGTTTGATTCCTGTGGATGAAATCACAAATCCAATTGTTTCAGGCACAAGTACAGCTGGGGAGCCTTCTCCTTGAGTGACTGCATTGCTATCCTTAATGCTTACAAGGTAAAAAGGGGCGTACACCATGTGTCGCCAGATAGTGCTACTCCACATGTCTATCATCTTCCCAAAACAAGGGAGTTAACGGACTCTAAAAGTCAAGTTTCCACCCTTGCTGAACTAGGCTGGAATTATCGAGTTATATTTGTGCTGGATTAACGGGTCTATGCATAGTCCAATTAAAATTGTGTGACGTAATTGATATCGGGTTCTTAAACAACATTGATTTCAATGTGCAGAGTTCAGTCAACTGCATGATTTGCATAAGATGTACTGTCAACTGGTTGTCGACAGATATTATCCAAATCTTTTCATGTTTTTAATCAAGGTGCTCATGTGATTTGATGCACTTCACGAGGTAAGACCCGTTAAGATTTACATCTTGAACATCGATCAGATCGTCTTAACTTGGAGCTGCCATGTTTGTTTGAACTGATATGAGAGGTGGAATCTGATTTGTCAATAGAATGGGCATAGAAGGGACATAACTCGTAATAGTCACTGGTGGCGATATTTGTAACAATGTTGGTACTGAGGTCTTTGTCTGGTTTAGGTGTGGGAAAACAACAAGAAGCACCACGCCTTCAAGCGGACTGGAATGACAGAGAGGAAATGGGGGGAATCCCACTTCATTCAGATCAGAAGGATCAATGAGGTATGTGTGAGCCCAGTTGTGTATGGCTGTCGCAGTAATCAGTGATCTTACCTGGTTGTCAGATGCAGTCAGTAATTGGTGATCTTACCTGGTTGTCAGATGCAGTCAGTAATTGGTGATCTTACATGGTTGTCAGATGCAGTCAGTAATCAGTGATCTTACCTGGTTGTCAGGTGCAGTCAGTAATCAGTGATCTTACCTGGTTGTCAGATGCAGTCAGTAATTGGTGATCTGACCTGGTTGTCAGATGCAGTCAGTAATCAGTGATCTTACCTGGTTGTCAGATGCAGTCAGTAATTAGTAATCTTACCTGGTTGTCAGATGCAGTCAGTAATCAGTGATCTTACATGGTTGTCAGATGCAGTCAGTAATTGGTGATCTTACCTGGTTGTCAGATGCAGTCAGTAATTGGTGATCTTACCTGGTTGTCAGATGCAGTCAGTAATTAGTAATCTTACCTGGTTGTCAGGTGCAGTCAGTAATCAGTGATCTGACCTGGTTGTCAGATACAGTCAGTAATCAGTGATCTTACCTGGTTGTCAGATGCAGTCAGTAATTGGTGAACTTACCTGGTTGTCAGATGCAGTCAGTAATTGGTGATCTGACCTGGTTGTCAGATGCAGTCAGTAATTGGTGATCTGACCTGGTTGTCAGATGCAGTCAGTAATCAGTGATCTTACCTGGTTGTCAGATGCAGTCAGTAATTGGTGATCTGACCTGGTTGTCAGATACAGTCAGTAATTGGTGAACTTACCTGGTTGTCAGATGCAGTCAGTAATTGGTGAACTTACATGGTTGTCAGATGCAGTCAGTAATCAGTGAAGTTACCTGGTTGTCAGATACAGTCAGTAATTGGTGATCTGACCTGGTTGTCAGATACAGTCAGTAATTGGTGATCTGACCTGGTTGTCAGATGCAGTCAGTAATTGGTGAACTTACCTGGTTGTCAGATGCAGTCAGTAATCAGTGAAGTTACCTGGTTGTCAGATACAGTCAGTAATTGGTGATCTGACCTGGTTGTCAGATGCAGTCAGTAATTGGTGAACTTACCTGGTTGTCAGATGCAGTCAGTAATCAGTGAAGTTACCTGGTTGTCAGATGTAGTCAGTAATTGGTGAACTTACCTGGTTGTCAGATGCAGTCAGTAATCAGTGATCTTACCTGGTTGTCAGATACAGTCAATAATTGGTGAACTTACCTGGTTGTCAGATGCAGTCAGTAATCAGTGATCTTACCTGGTTGTCAGATGCAGTCAGTAATTGGTGAACTTACCTTGTTGTCAGATGCAGTCAGTAATCAGTGATCTTACCTGGTTGTCAGATACAGTCAGTAATCAGTGATCTTACCTGGTTGTCAGATACAGTCAGTAATTGGTGAACTTACCTGGTTGTCAGATACAGTCAGTAATTGGTGAACTTACCTGGTTGTCAGATGCAGTCAGTAATTGGTGATCTGACCTGGTTGTCAGATGCAGTCAGTAATTGGTGATCTTACCTGGTTGTCAGATGCAGTCAGTAATCAGTGATCTTACCTGGTTGTCAGATACAGTCAGTAATTGGTGAACTTACCTGGTTGTCAGATGCAGTCAGTAATCAGTGATCTTACCTGGTTGTCAGATGCAGTCAGTAATTGGTGAACTTACCTTGTTGTCAGATGCAGTCAGTAATCAGTGATCTTACCTGGTTGTCAGATACAGTCAGTAATCAGTGATCTTACCTGGTTGTCAGATACAGTCAGTAATTGGTGAACTTACCTGGTTGTCAGATGCAGTCAGTAATCAGTGATCTGACCTGGTTGTCAGATGCAGTCAGTAATTGGTGAACTTACCTGGTTGTCAGATGCAGTCAGTAATTGGTGAACTTACCTGGTTGTCTGATACAGTCAGTAATTGGTGAACTTACCTGGTTGTCAGATGCAGTCAGTAATTGGTGATCTTACCTGGTTGTCAGATGCAGTCAGTAATTGGTGATCTGACCTGGTTGTCAGATGCAGTCAGTAATCAGTGATCTTACCTGGTTGTCAGATGCAGTCAGAAATTGGTGATCTGACCTGGTTGTCAGATACAGTCAATAATTGGTGAACTTACCTGGTTGTCAGATGCAGTCAGTAATCAGTGATCTTACCTGGTTGTCAGATGCAGTCAGTAATTGGTGAACTTACCTGGTTGTCAGATGCAGTCAGTAATTGGTGATCTGACCTGGTTGTCAGATGCAGTCAGTAATCAGTGATCTGACCTGGTTGTCAGATGCAGTCAGTAATTGGTGATCTGACCTGGTTGTCAGATGCAGTCAGTAATTGGTGATCTGACCTGGTTGTCAGATGCAGTCAGTAATTAGTAATCTTACCTGGTTGTCAGATGCAGTCAGTAATCAGTGATCTGACCTGGTTGTTAGATGCAGTCAGTAATCAGTGATCTGACCTGGTTGTCAGATGCAGTCAGTAATCAGTGATCAGACCTGGTTGTCAGATGCAGTCAGTAATTGGTGATCTGACCTGGTTGTCAGATACAGTCAGTAATTGGTGAACTTACCTGGTTGTCAGATGCAGTCAGTAATCAGTGATCTGACCTGGTTGTCAGATGCAGTCAGTAATCAGTGATCTGACCTGGTTGTCAGATGCAGTCAGTAATAGGTGATCTGACCTGGTTGTCAGATACAGTCAGTAATTGGTGAACTTACCTGGTTGTCAGATGCAGTCAGTAATCAGTGATCTTACCTGGTTGTCAGATGCAGTCAGTAATTGGTGAACTTACCTGGTTGTCAGATGCAGTCAGTAATCAGTGATCTTACCTGGTTGTCAGATGCAGTCAGTAATTGGTGAACTTACCTGGTTGTCAGATGCAGTCAGTAATCAGTGATCTGACCTGGTTGTCAGATGCAGTCAGTAATCAGTGATCTGACCTGGTTGTCAGATGCAGTCAGTAATAGGTGATCTGACCTGGTTGTCAGATGCAGTCAGTAATTGGTGAACTTACCTGGTTGTCAGATGCAGTCAGTAATTGGTGATCTGACCTGGTTGTCAGATGCAGTCAGTAATTGGTGAACTTACCTGGTTGTCAGATGCAGTCAGTAATCAGTGATCTTACCTGGTTGTCAGATGCAGTCAGTAATTGGTGAACTTACCTGGTTGTCAGATGCAGTCAGTAATCAGTGATCTGACCTGGTTGTCAGATGCAGTCAGTAATTGGTGATCTGACCTGGTTGTCAGATGCAGTCAGTAATTAGTAATCTTACCTGGTTGTCAGATGCAGTCAGTAATCAGTGATCTGACCTGGTGGTTAGATGCAGTCAGTAATCAGTGATCTGACCTGGTTGTCAGATGCAGTCAGTAATCAGTGATCTGACCTGGTTGTCAGATGCAGTCAGTAATTGGTGATCTGACCTGGTTGTCAGATACAGTCAGTAATTGGTGAACTTACCTGGTTGTCAGATGCAGTCAGTAATCAGTGATCTTACCTGGTTGTCAGATGCAGTCAGTAATTGGTGAACTTACCTGGTTGTCAGATGCAGTCAGTAATCAGTGATCTGACCTGGTTGTCAGATGCAGTCAGTAATTGGTGATCTGACCTGGTTGTCAGATGCAGTCAGTAATTAGTAATCTTACCTGGTTGTCAGATGCAGTCAGTAATTGGTGAACTTACCTGGTTGTCAGATGCAGTCAGTAATCAGTGATCTTACCTGGTTGTCAGATGCAGTCAGTAATTGGTGAACTTACCTGGTTGTCAGATGCAGTCAGTAATCAGTGATCTGACCTGGTTGTCAGATGCAGTCAGTAATTGGTGATCTGACCTGGTTGTCAGATGCAGTCAGTAATTAGTAATCTTACCTGGTTGTCAGATGCAGTCAGTAATCAGTGATCTGACCTGGTTGTTAGATGCAGTCAGTAATCAGTGATCTGACCTGGTTGTCAGATGCAGTCAGTAATCAGTGATCTGACCTGGTTGTCAGATGCAGTCAGTAATTGGTGATCTGACCTGGTTGTCAGATACAGTCAGTAATTGGTGAACTTACCTGGTTGTCAGATGCAGTCAGTAATCAGTGATCTGACCTGGTTGTCAGATGCAGTCAGTAATCAGTGATCTGACCTGGTTGTCAGATGCAGTCAGTAATTGGTGATCTGACCTGGTTGTCAGATACAGTCAGTAATTGGTGAACTTACCTGGTTGTCAGATGCAGTCAGTAATCAGTGATCTTACCTGGTTGTCAGATGCAGTCAGTAATTGGTGAACTTACCTGGTTGTCAGATGCAGTCAGTAATCAGTGATCTGACCTGGTTGTCAGATGCAGTCAGTAATTGGTGAACTTACCTTGTTGTCAGATGCGGTCAGTAATCAGTGATCTTACGTGGTTGTCAGATACAGTCAGTAATCAGTGATCTTACCTGGTTGTCAGATACAGTCAGTAATCAGTGAACTTACCTGGTTGTCAGATACAGTCAGTAATCAGTGATCTTACCTGGTTGTCAGATGCAGTCAGTAATTGGTGATCTGACCTGGTTGTCAGATACAGTCAGTAATTGGTGAACTTACCTGGTTGTCAGATGCAGTCAGTAATCAGTGATCTTACCTGGTTGTCAGATGCAGTCAGTAATTGGTGAACTTACCTGGTTGTCAGATGCAATCAGTAATCAGTGATCTGACCTGGTTGTCAGATGCAGTCAGTAAATGGTGAACTTACCTTGTTGTCAGATGCAGTCAGTAATCAGTGATCTTACCTGGTTGTCAGATACAGTCAGTAATCAGTGATCTTACCTGGTTGTCAGATACAGTCAGTAATTGGTGACCTTACCTGGTTGTCAGATGCAGTCAGTAATTGGTGATCTGACCTGGTTGTCAGATGCAGTCAGTAATTAGTAATCTGACCTGGTTGTCAGATGCAGTCAGTAATTGGTGATCTTACCTGGTTGTCAGATGCAGTCAGTAATCAGTGATCTTACCTGGTTGTCAGATACAGTCAGTAATTGGTGAACTTACCTGGTTGTCAGATGCAGTCAGTAATCAGTGATCTTACCTGGTTGTCAGATGCAGTCAGTAATTGGTGAACTTACCTTGTTGTCAGATGCAGTCAGTAATTGGTGATCTTACCTGGTTGTCAGATACAGTCAGTAATCAGTGATCTTACCTGGTTGTCAGATACAGTCAGTAATTGGTGAACTTACCTGGTTGTCAGATACAGTCAGTAATTGGTGAACTTACCTGGTTGTCAGATGCAGTCAGTAATTGGTGATCTGACCTGGTTGTCAGATGCAGTCAGTAATTGGTGATCTTACCTGGTTGTCAGATGCAGTCAGTAATTGGTGATCTTACCTGGTTGTCAGATGCAGTCAGTAATCAGTGATCTTACCTGGTTGTCAGATGCAGTCAGAAATTGGTGATCTGACCTGGTTGTCAGATACAGTCAATAATTGGTGAACTTACCTGGTTGTCAGATGCAGTCAGTAATCAGTGATCTTACCTGGTTGTCAGATGCAGTCAGTAATTGGTGAACTTACCTGGTTGTCAGATGCAGTCAGTAATTGGTGATCTGACCTGGTTGTCAGATGCAGTCAGTAATCAGTGATCTGACCTGGTTGTCAGATGCAGTCAGTAATCAGTGATCTGACCTGGTTGTCAGATGCAGTCAGTAATTGGTGATCTGACCTGGTTGTCAGATGCAGTCAGTAATTAGTAATCTTACCTGGTTGTCAGATGCAGTCAGTAATCAGTGATCTGACCTGGTTGTTAGATGCAGTCAGTAATCAGTGATCTGACCTGGTTGTCAGATGCAGTCAGTAATCAGTGATCTGACCTGGTTGTCAGATGCAGTCAGTAATTGGTGATCTGACCTGGTTGTCAGATGCAGTCAGAAATTGGTGATCTGACCTGGTTGTCAGATACAGTCAATAATTGGTGAACTTACCTGGTTGTCAGATGCAGTCAGTAATCAGTGATCTTACCTGGTTGTCAGATGCAGTCAGTAATTGGTGATCTGACCTGGTTGTCAGATACAGTCAGTAATTGGTGAACTTACCTGGTTGTCAGATGCAGTCAGTAATCAGTGATCTGACCTGGTTGTTAGATGCAGTCAGTAATCAGTGATCTGACCTGGTTGTCAGATGCAGTCAGTAATCAGTGATCTGACCTGGTTGTCAGATGCAGTCAGTAATTGGTGATCTTACCTGGTTGTCAGATGCAGTCAGTTATTGATGAACTTACCTGGTTGTCAGATACAGTCAGTAATAGGTGATCTTACCTGGTTGTTAGATGCAGTCAGTAATCAGTGATCTGATATGGTGGTCAGATACAGTCAGTAATTGGTGATCTTACCTGGTTGTTAGATGCAGTCAGTAATCAGTGATCTGATATGGTGGTCAGATACAGTCAGTAATTGGTGAACTTTCCTGGTTGTCGTACTCAACACCTGGAGCCAGCCAGTGTGTCATACTTGACACCTGAACCAGCCAGTGTGTCATACTCGACACCTGGAGCCACTCAGTGTGTCATACTCGACACCTAGAGCCAGCCAGTGTGTCAGCCAGTAATCAGTGTGTGTTGTCTGCAGACATCCGAGTTGATCCGGGAGCTTGAGCAGCGGCTGGAGAGGTTCAACATCCAGAAGGCCAGCAGACCGCCATTCTTTAAGGGAGACTACAACTCATCCAAGGAGAGGCTGCTTCTCAAGGTAAAGCTTTGCTAACCAATGCAGTGTTCCTGTATCTAAAACTGACACTCATTTTTGTCAGTTCCAACTTTCAACAAATACAAACACATGTGAAATTACCTGGTTTTAATTCTTTCAACTCCATGTTCACTGCAATGGCAATGATGTCATCTCTGACGTAACTTAGTTAGATCTACATGTCATTCACACAAAGTTCAGTCGCAATTTTCACTCTGTATTTAAAAAAAAAATATTTCGAGACTAAGTCGCTACAAATATATATTTAACCTTGAAGCAAAGTGAATGTTATTTCATTGCACCAAAAATAGACAAGGGTAAACCCTGATGGTAACAGACAAGCTGACTTCGATCGAAAAATATACTTACATGAATATTGCCTATGTTATGTTCAACAACAAAGATTTATAAGGTACTTTATTTGCCATTCTACGGGGAGTGGCGGTCACATGAATTACCAGTCCAAGCCCAATTTTACCAGTAAAACATTACCGGAACACGGAACACTGCTACGGTGTATAAATATGTTGCTATTTGATTCTAGTCCTGGGCCCACTTGCTCAAAGTGATCTTAGCACTAAGACTATCTTAAGCCTATGTTAAAGAATGGGAGTTACGATCATCTTAGTTCTAAGATCGCTTTGTGCAAGTGGGTCCTGGAGGGACGGGGTTGCTGGACGTGTCTGTGTGTTTCAGCTGGTGCTGTGTGGAGCCTTCTATCCTAACTACTTCCTGCGTGGCGAGGTAGACGAGGGGGATGCTATCCGAGTTCTGTCCAACCATGATCCCATGAACACTGTTGCAGTGAGTAATCATTTTCAGAACTCATTTGTTGCAGATGTGTCACTTGAATTGCAAGTCTGACTTGTTGCAGTAGCCTTTGGTCTATTGCAGAATCCTACTGTGTCTGTCTCTGTCTGTCTGTCTGTCTGTCTGTCAATCCGTCCATCTGTCCATCCGTCTGTCTGTCCCTCTGTCTATCTATCGCCAGTGCAGAGTTAACCTCACCTCCAACAATATGGACAAATTAGTCATCAACATATATGGTATTTTTGAAAAAATATTGTAAATCGTGAAATTAATGCGTCTCCAAATGAATGCGACCACTGGACCCTAGTAAAAAATGCGACTCAATATGAATGCGACACCCCCTCCTCTCAAGCATCAGTGGATTTCTATCTAAAGAAAATGTCCTCAGTCAGGTTTAGAATCCTCACCTTAATCCAACCTTACATTAATCCAATCACACACTAAATAGCACCGCTTTTTAGCGCTGAGTAGAGTACTTCTGCAAAAGCAATACATGCGCGCTGGCTCGGGTCGGCCTTTGACGCAGTCGCAAAGAACAAAGTGTGGCGTCTGCCTGGACTTGCAGGTGTAATCAGTGATGATATAAGTGAGTAGAACTTTTGTCTTGACCCCAGCAGTGACAATTCACAAGACGTAATTAGTGTTTGAATGACATTGTTTATATACTTTATATACAAGTGCTGCTCAATAAACAGTGGTGTGGAATACATCAGCGTATGTCTAAGTTGGTATTTTTGCTATCCAAAATGTCTTATTGTTGATATAAATGCGATGTTTAAAAATGCGAGCAAAGACCCCTCGCATTTTTCGCATTTAATTCATGCTCGCGTTAATTTCAAGATTTACAGTATGTATACTTCTTATAATGAATCATGTTACATTTCCGGTGATACTGATGTTTCTGAGTGCCATTGTCAAATATATGTTTAAAACATCTGTCACTTAGATAAAATTCAGACAGGTTTAAAGTTGTCGAACAATTTGTTGGATTCTGTATCGCATTCTGATTGGCCAATCATGTGGCTTGGCGAGAGCTTAAGTGGTGTTGCCTTACAGTATTTCCTAACATTCCAATCATGTGCAGTTTGTATGATATACAGCCCACATGATATATCTCAATGAGTGAATCACCTCTAGGGCTCCCCTTGCTTGCAGTGAACTGACATGAACGTTTCAAATGTCAAGGTCACTTTGAAGGTCAGACACTAATGGAATGATTTGCAGGAAGTATTGTCAGCATGGTACACATATTTGTAACATCACAAAGTAATCCTCTTGATCGTATGATTTTGAAGGTAAAGGTCACTGCATCTGAAGCAGACGTCCCAAAACATTTGTATTCACAATTTCTTGAGCAGTTCTTATTAGAATTTGATGAAACTTTGTATGCATTAGAGTTCATGGCTGAGATGGAAGGTCAAGGTTATTTAACTGAGACTTGTTATTAGGATAGCTCTACATGTAATCGGCACTGAACACTATGACCTTTGAGTTCTCTGTGTTCAGCTCAAGGGACTGCCAGCCAATCAGGGCATGCTGTACAAGGAGAAGCTACAATGCATCTTCAGTGAGTGCAGCCGGGACCCGCCTCCCATCATCAATTTTGAGGAAACAAAGTAAGTTGAAACAGTGGACCCGTGAAGATCTAGGGTAGAAAAAGTCTTCAGGAACAGATGCTAGCCATAAAAGGCAACTATGCCTGTCGTAAGAGGCACTAACGGTATCGGGTGGCAAGGCTCACTGACTTAGTTGATGCATGTCATCATATCCAAATTGCGCGAATCTATGGTCATTGGATTGTCTGGCCCAGACTTGATTATTTACGGACTGATGTCGTATATCTGGAATATTACAGAGTGCGGCAGTAAACAACATGAAATAATCACACAAAACAAACATTCACAGAGAAATTTGAGTAAGTTCTAGCTGACCATGATTGTGAGTTCTTGGCATAAACAATTCAACCACAACCAATTACAAAATGTTAAAATGAAACAGGCAGGTGCTTTTTCCAAAGCTGTACAACACATTTACTTCGAGCGTCAGGAGGTGGTTCCTGCAGTAAATTCACACCACCACCACATGCCGTGTAGAAGATGCGCCATTCATCACGGAATGAAGATCATGTTGAGGAGTGTCTGTATGTTGTAATTCATGCCTGTCTCATGTTTATGCAGGGCTTTCATCCAGTTCCCATGGAAGGGCAACACTCTGTGTGAGTCTCGAGTACACAAGGGTATTTACATGGCCATCAAGCTCAGGTAACTGTCACCCCTGTTTTAGCTTCCATCCACTACGGGGGCATGGGTGGCCCAGTCGTCTAAGGCACCGCGATTCGCTGTGCAGAGTTGCGTCCCTTGATTGTGGGTTCGAATCCGGGTTCGCCCCGATTATGTTTCTAGGTTTGTCAGCACCATACCCATGCTCGTAGGTTTCACCGAAGTGGTAAATGTCTGAGACCTGCATCACTTCGGGCTTTCCTCCCACATTAAGCTGACAAGCCGTGATATAACTGGAATAATGTTAACAGCGGTGTTAAACCCAACTCACTCACTCGCTCCATCCACTCTGGAGCACTGGTGACCAATCGTTTAAGGTGCCACAATTCATCATGCAGAGTCGCATCCTTTGGCAACGCCTGACGCTATAAGTTGTAGAGGGATCACTCGGGGTACATGGCGTTTTATGTGTCCCGCGTTAGGGTTTATCCCACGAGCCGGAGGCCGGAGGCAAGTGGTATAAAACGAGGGATGCATTAAACCCTATGTACCCCGAATGATCCTGCTACAATGAATTTATCTTACCGACATGTTTTAATGTGACATTGTAAAAATTCGTAGCAGATTGTGTACATTGTATTCAAGTTGTAGCTGATGGTGTACATTGTATTCAAGTTGTAGCTGATTGTGTACATTGTATTCAAGTTGTAGCTGATTTTGTACATTGTATTCAAGTTGTAGCAGATTGTGTACATTGTATTCAAGTTGTAGCTGATTGTGTACATTGTATTCAAGTTGTAGCTGATTGTGTACATTGTATTCAAGTTGTAGCTGATGGTTCACACTGTGTAAAGTTGTAGCTGATTGTGTACATTGTATTCAAATTGTAGCTGATTGTGTACATTGTATTCAAATTGTAGCTGATTGTGTACATTGTATTCAAGTTGTAGCTAATGTTTCACACTGTGTAAAGTTGTAGCTGATGGTTAACACTGTGTAAAGTTGTAACTGTGATGTGTTTGGTGTGTACAGGTTGTTGCGGATCCCCATCGAGGTGGAGATGTACACAAGGGAAGATGCTAACATCATAGCCAGCAACCTGCACAAAGCCCAAGACATAGTGGCTTCCCAGGGACAGCTCCGTACCAACAGGTGAGGCAACCCTGGGTCAGTTACTGCTGGCTACTCTCATTTCAAGGTGACAGTTTTCTTATGTTTGGGTGTGTGTCTGTGTGTTTTGGGGTAACCTAGTGGTTAAAGTGTTCACTCGTCACGCTGAAGACCAAGTTCGATTCCCCACTTGGGTACAACGTGTGAAGCCCGTTTCTGGTGTCCACTGCCATGATATTGCTGGAATATTGCTGAAAGCCGCGTAAAACCATGCTCGCGCACTCGCTCAATCGCTCACTCACTCACTCACTCACTCACTTACTCACTCACTCACTCATATTTGGGTTTACAGTTTCCACTGACAGTAGTCAAAAGCAACAATAAGAAAAAAATGAAAATACTTTGAAATCGTTGCTTGATTTTAGAAATAAAAAGGTCCAACAGAAAGTAGCTGTTAATCATCAATTAAATTTACGCCTTTAACCCCTGCCTCGTTTGTTGAGAAATACGATGCGAAGTAGTGAAAAATTATTCAACCTTCACCCAGGCAAAAGTTCCCACTCCTCCATAGAAGTCAAATGGATGCTCGCTTATAGAAATTTAGTTTCTCCCTAATGAGCCAAATGAATTGTAAACGTATCAAACTACTGGTACACAGTATTTCTCCAACTTACCAAGCTAGTCGGGTTGCTAAAATATGTTTGATTGCCAATCGAGAAGTTCTAGAACTTCTGTTTTATTGCATAAAGCGACTTTCGATGTAGATTCTTTCACCATTATCAAGCTGGAGTGCAATACACCAGAAGAAGTTTTCCATAAAGTTGTAGGTTTTTCTAGTGAAAATGTGTAATTTTTGCAAATGACTACGTATTACCTGCCAGCCCTGATGCTGTTTTAGACTGAAGGGGTCCTCACAAGAAAGCCTTGGGCAAGTTGTAGAACCCCCCAGACCCTCCGTGTCCGGAGTCCTAATCATGGTCACTGCCGTAAGTCTCCACACCTGTACACCTGGACACCTGGACCGCCTCCGTGGTCTAATGGTAGAGCGTCCGCCCGGAGAGCGGAAGGTCCGGGGTTCGATCTCCGGCCGCGTCATACCAAAAGACGTTAAAAGATGGTACTTGTTGTTACCCTGTCTGGCGCTCGGCATTAAGGGGCTAAAACAAGGTCTGGTCAGCTCGGAGTCAGTATACTGAGTGGGGTATTCATGTTATACTGCGGGATGGTATCTCAGTGTGCTAGCACTATAAATCGGCATCGGTCCGGACTAGTACAAGCAGCCACACACACACACATACACGTGCATGCACGTCGCTATATAAGTGCAGTAATCTTGGACGCGACGTTAAACCCCATTTCACCTCACCTGTACACCTACATCAGGTGAAATGGGGTTTAACGTCGCGTCCAAGATTATTACACATATAATGCATGCATGTATGTATGTGTGTGTGTGGCTGCTTGTATTTGTGGGGGTGGGTGTGTTGGTTGGTGGATTGTTACTAACCTAGAATAATGCCAGTGTTATGCGCTTGCCCACTGAGATACCATGGTGGCAGTTTATTACAGATACCTCACTCAGACACAGTATACTAACTCTGACGAATGGTCCTTGTTTTATCCCCCTCATGCCGAGTGCTAGGCAGGGCAACAACAAGTGCCATCTTTTAACGTCTTTTGGTATGATGTGGCAAGGGATTGAACCCCGGACCTTCCGCTCTCCAGGCGGACGTTCTACCAATAGATCACGGAGGCGGTCCCATTTTGTTTGAAGCAATGCAAGTGCTATGAGAGATGGAATCTGATTGGTCAGTAAGGGGTGCATAGAAGGAACATAACTCGTAATAGCCACTGTTGGTGCTAAGATCGAGTCCAGAAATTCCAGCCAAGTTCGGCAAAGGTGGAAACTGGACATTTAAAGTCAGTTAACTCCCTTGCCTCAGGAAGATGGACCGTCATATAGCTGGAATATTGCTGAGAGCGGCATCAAGCAACAAACAATACCAGGTACTATCATCCTGTAATATCCTATGTATCCTCCTTGTTGGCGTTGTTGAGCAGGTGGTGGAGTTTGGCCACTTCTGGGCGCAGTACTACTCGGACATGGCTATCAGTCAGCTGAAACACGTGCAGGACCAGCTCAACAGCTCCACTGCCTTGATGCAGGTACAGTATTGTATACATCTTTTCTTTACAAGTCGACCCGTGAACACCCGGGGTAGAATAGGCCTTCAGCAACCCATTCTTGACGTAAAAGGCGACTATGCTTGTTGTAAGAGCTGACTATGGGGATTGAGTGGTCAGGCTTGCTGACTTGGTTGATGCATGTCATTGTATCCCAATTGCGTGGATTGATGCTCATGATGTCAGTCACTGGGGTGTTTAGTCCAGACTTGATTATTTACAGACCGCCGTCGTATAGCTGGAATATGGCTGAGTGCAGCAGTTAAACAACAAACAAATAACTGGTAATATGTTTATGATGTAAATATCCACTGTGAACAATGAACATGAAGTAAAATTGTATCGATAAATGTTATAGTTCTAATAATAATCTTTGAAACTAGTTTACTCAAATGTTGCTGTTTTGTTGAATTTCCTACGTTCTTTTTAGTGATGAGAAAAATCAGTAGTGTTAATGTAATGTGATGCTTCCGGAGGTTTTTGTAGAAAGTCTCCAGACTTTCTGGGTGTGAGCTGCTTCATGAGGTCCTCCTGTACACGTTGGATGTGTTTTCTGCAGGTGACCGGGTTCCTGGCGCCTGGGAGTTACTGTGCTGCCATCTACCAGGACGAGTCCGTCGCCTTCTACAGGGGCAAGATTGTGGAGATTCGAGGAAACATGGTGCAGGTATGAACTATTCTGTCAGAAGCACCACACAGATGGCCAGTGAGCACCTTGCAGCACTGTAGTGTGTGGAAGCCCTTGCTCTATGTGCAAGATTGTGGAGATTCCAGGAAACATGGTGCAGGTACGAAGTATTCTGTCAGTTGCACCACACAGATGGCCAGTGAGCACCTTTCAGCACTGTAGTGTGTGGAAGCCCTTGCTCTATGTGCAAGATTGTGGAGATCAGAGGAAACGTGGTGCAGGTACGAACTATTCTGTCAGAAGCACCACACAGATGGCCAGTGAGCACCTTGCAGCACTGTAGTGTGTGGAAGCCCTTGCTCTATGTGCAAGATTGTGGAGATCCGAGGAAACGTGGTGCAGGTACGAACTGTTCTGTCAGAAGCACCACACAGATGGCCAGTGAGCACCTTGCAGCACTGTAGTGTGTGGAAGCCCTTGCTCTATGTGCAAGATTGTGGAGATCAGAGGAAACGTGGTGCAGGTACGAACTATTCTGTCAGAAGCACCACACAGATGGCCAGTGAGCACCTTGCAGCACTGTAGTGTGTGGAAGCCCTTGCTCTATGTGCAAGATTGTGGAGATCAGAGGAAACATGGTGCAGGTACGAAGTATTCTGTCAGAAGCACCACACAGATGGCCAGTGAGCACCTTGCAGCACTGTAGTGTGTGGAAGCCCTTGCTCTATGTGCAAGATTGTGGAGATCAGAGGAAACGTGGTGCAGGTACGAACTATTCTGTCAGAAGCACCACACAGATGGCTAGTGAGCACCTTGCAGCACTGTAGTGTGTGGAAGCCCTTGCTCTATGTGCAAGATTGTTGAGATCAGAGGAAACATGGTGCAGGTATGAACTATTCTGTCAGTTGCACCACACAGATGGCCAGAGAGCACCTTGCAGCACTGTAGTGTGTGGAAGCCCTTGCTCTATGTGCAAGATTGTGGAGATCCGAGGAAACGTGGTGCAGGTACGAACTATTCTGTCAGTTGCACCACACAGATGGCCAGTGAGCACCTTGCAGCACTGTAGTGTGTGGAAGCCCTTGCTCTATGTGCAAGATTGTGGAGATCAGAGGAAACGTGGTGCAGGTACGAACTGTTCTGTCAGAAGCACCACACAGATGGCCAGAGAGCACCTTGCAGCACTGTAGTGTGTGGAAACCCTTGCTCTATGTGCAAGATTGTTGAGATTCGAGGAAACGTGGTGCAGGTACGAACTATTCTGTCAGTTGCACCACACAGATGGCCAGTGAGCACCTTGCAGCACTGTAGTGTGTGGAAGCCCTTGCTCTATGTGCAAGATTGTGGAGATCAGAGGAAACGTGGTGCAGGTACGAACTATTCTGTCAGTTGCACCACACAGATGGCCAGTGAGCACCTTGCAGCACTGTAGTGTGTGGAAGCCCTTGCTCTATGTGCAAGATTGTTGAGATCAGAGGAAACGTGGTGCAGGTACGAACTATTCTGTCAGAAGCACCACACAGATAGCAGTGAGCACCTTGCAGCACTGTAGTGTGTGGAAGCCCTTGCTCTATGTGCAAGATTGTGGAGATCAGAGGAAACGTGGTGCAGGTACGAACTATTCTGTCAGTTGCACCACACAGATGGCCAGTGAGCACCTTGCAGCACTGTAGTGTGTGGAAGCCCTTGCTCTATGTGCAAGATTGTGGAGATCAGAGGAAACGTGGTGCAGGTACGAACTGTCCTGTCAGAAGCACCACACAGATGGCCAGTGAGCACCTTGCAGCACTGTAGTGTGTGGAAGCCCTTGCTCTATGTGCAAGATTGTGGAGATCAGAGGAAACGTGGTGCAGGTACGAACTATTCTGTCAGTTGCACCACACAGATGGCCAGTGAGCACCTTGCAGCACTGTAGTGTGTGGAAGCCCTTGCTCTATGTGCAAGATTGTGGAGATCAGAGGAAACGTGGTGCAGGTACGAACTATTCTGTCAGAAGCACCACACAGATAGCAGTGAGCACCTTGCAGCACTGTAGTGTGTGGAAGCCCCTGCTTTATGCTCACTCACTGAATCATAAGGAATGTGTGCTGCAGGCCTCAAAGTTTAATTTTTTACCAAGTAGCCATATTGCTACAAGTATTTTTTTCCAGGTAGCCAGTGGTACAATCAAGAAGTCAAGCCAATAGTGTAGGTAGCCAAAAGCATTTGAAATGATCTTTTATCAAATAACTATTATATGTACAAGTCATAGCACTAGTCTTGGAATTGTATATTAGTGGAAACTGTACATGCTGTACTTGAGTTTTGTTATTTGTGACTCAAACAATGATGCAATTTATGTTACTAGATTGTGTAGGTATATCCTTGCTTATCCAATAAACTATCAACTAAAATAAACTACTAATCACATTAACATTAATATTCATTGTTGACTTTAGGAGGAATTATTTGCAAGTACAATCAGTAGCAGACACATTTATTTTTGTGTCTACATATGTGTAGCAATAGAATTTAGTCACCACAAGATATTTTTGAAGGTAGTCATTTGGCTACCTCAGAATTTTAGACAGTAGACAAATTGAAATTTAGGTCGCATTGGCCACTGTTTTAGTCGCAACTTTGAGGCCTGTGCTGGGATGTGACCTTGGGGTACTGAAGTGGCAGTGCCGATCCAAAAGGAATGTCTTAAACTTTCTTATAGTGGAAACAGGACATGATTGCCAGACCTGAACAGAGAACTGTTTGGTTGGCACATCTGCAATCAAAGCATGGAACAGGGTGGTCCTGGAGGATCACCATGCATCATGGACTGGTTGCCAACATACTCTCTTCCTCCGCACATTTTGGTCTTTGACTACTTTCACCGGCTAATTGTAATGTGAGTGTATTTGTGGCTCTAATGTGAAACACATGTTGATCTTGTTCTTTGTTGACAGGTGTTCTTTGTTGACTATGGCAACATGGAGATGGTGTCACGAGATCACATTCGAGCTTTGCCTCCCCAGCTGCTGCAGATCCCCTTCCAGGTGTGTTCTCCTGAAGCCCTGCACACCTGTGGCCATGTATCTTTCTTTCTTTGGTTTACAAGACCTTACCAAAAAAACAAAACAATGAAATTCTTTATTTAAAAAATAACCCTTGAAAATGATGTTTGGGCCAATTGTAACCTTCATATTTATAAACAGTAGGATTAGACCTTTCAAATGACGTGTAGTAGCAAAGATATTTTACAAGTTGATAATTTCCTGATAAATGTAGGCTTCATCTATCACCACCGAGTCCCTGGGAACTCGGTTTGATAACTGTAAATGTTTCTGGTTGACTGGTTGTGGTTTGCAATTTATAATGCAAGAGTATGTCTCCCTGCTTCAGCTAAAATGTTTGAGCCTACAGTTTTTCCACTGGGCCTACAGTTTTTTTCCACAGGGCCTACAGTTTTTGAAATGTGCTGACCCTTAAGGCTCTCAGTTTACTCTGCTGAGATTCAGACACTGATTCCAGTTTCTCATGGTGTTTCAGCTTAATGTGACAGGAAAGCCCGATGGGATGTATGTCTCAGACATTTACCACTTTGGTGAAACCCATGAGCAGGATATGGTGCTGATAACCCTACAAACACAATTGGCGAACCTGGATTCGAACCCATGATCATAGGTTCCTGGTGTTCCCAAGGGAAACAACTCTGCACAGCGAATTGACGTGCCTCAGCTAACTAGGCCACCCATGCCACCTTAGTTGTTTATAATGGAAAGCATTTGTAACATTTCGCACACTATGAACCTGGAGCCTGGGTGTTATTTCGTGTTTTTTCAGTTGTAGTTGTTCCTACTATATGATTTCATGTTTGGTGTCTCTAGGCATTTGAATGCTACCTGGCTCACATTCGCCCATCTAGTCTGAGGTGTCCTGATGGAGTTTGGAGCAAAGAGTCTACCGCATGGTTCACCAATGAGTACATCAACAAGATTTTGTATGCCCAGGTAAAGCTCATCTCATAGTATTAATAATCTCTCATCAGCTGTGAGTCAACTGTTGATCTGCCCCATGGGAATTCCGGTTAGAATTGGTCCCCCAGCAGCCTCTGTTGGTCATAAGAGGTGACTTGATAGAACGTGTGGTCAGGCTCGGTGGTTGCATGTCATTGTACCCCAACGTTGTGGATCGTTGCTCAAAACATCGATCACTGGTTCATCTGAACATGCTGATCCAGACTCGATTTTTTACATTGTGCCGTCACTTTGCTGGAATATTGCTGACAAACAACAAACAAACAGACAATTGTTCATTTTTCACTAATTCAAGATCAACCCAGTTTTAACTCAATAGTGTGTATATGAAATAGATACTGAATATCCTGATCGAGATCACCCTATTTTCACTTACTTGTGTGTAACCCAACTAGTGACCATCAAGATTAAAATCACACAGTTTCACCCACTTGTGAGTAGCCCAACAAGATAGTGACTGTCCAGATTGAAATCACCCAGTTTCACCCACTTGTGAGTGACCCAACTAGATAGTGACCGTCCAGATTAAAATCACCCAGTTTCACCCACTTGTGAGTAGCCCAACTAGATAGTCACTGTCCAGATTGAAATCTCCCTGTTTCACCCACTTGTGAGTAGCCCAACTAGATAGTGACTGTCCAGATTGAAATCACCCAGTTTCACCCACTTGTGAGTAGCCCAACTAGATAGTGACTGTCCAGATTGAAATCTCCCTGTTTCACCCACTTGTGAGTGACCCAACTAGATAGTGACTGTCCAGATTGAAATCACCCTGTTTCACCCACTTGTGAGTGACCCAACTAGATAGTGACTGTCCAGACTGAAATCTCCCTGTTTCACCCACTTGTGAGTGACCCAACTAGATAGTGACTGTCCAGATTGAAATCACCCAGTTTCACCCACTTGTGAGTGACCCAACTAGATAGTGACTGTCCAGATTGAAATCTCCCTGTTTCACCCACTTGTGAGTGACCCAACTAGATAGTGACTGTCCAGATTGAAATCACCCAGTTTCACCCACTTGTGAGTGACCCAACTAGGTAATGACTGTCCAGATTGAAATCACCCAGTTTCACCCACTTGTGAGTGACCCAACTAGATAGTGACTGTCCAGATTGAAATCCCTGCAGTGTAAGTAACCGAGACGAAGTATTGAAGTATTGTCCAGGTGTGCGATGTAGCATGAGGTTAATACGATGATGATGTGTGTGTCCTGATGCTGAGGTTGGTACTACTTCCTGGATGCAGGTGTTTTCAGTAGAGAGGAGTGCCTTGAGGCTGGAGGTGATTGAGAAGAAGCTGAACAACCAGCAAGTTGTGGTCAATGAAGAAGTGGTCAGAAAGGGCTATGCAGATAATGCTGAGGAGTCATTTCTGTCCAAGGTGAGATGTTGTCAGCTTTTCAAACACATTATAAACCCAGCTTTTCAAACACTTTATAAACCCAACTTTTCAAACACATTTTAAACCCAGCTTTTCAAACACATGTACATTTTAAACCCTGCTTTTCAAACACTTTAACCCAGCTTTTGAAACACTTTAACTCAACTTTTCAAACACTTTATAAACCCAGCTTTTCAAACACGTTTTAAACCCAGCTGTTCAAACACTTTAATCCAACTTTTCAAACACGTTTTAAACTCAGCTTTTCAAACATTTTAACCCAGCTTTTCAAACATGTTTTAAATCCAGCTTTGAAACACTTTAACACAACTTTTCAAACATGTTTTAAACCCAGCTTTTCAAACACTTTAACCCATCTTTTCAAACACTTTATAAACCCATCTTTTCAAACACGTTTTAAACCCAACTTTTCAAACACATTTTAAACCCAGCTTTTCAAACACATGTACATTTTAAACCCTGCTTTTCAAACACTTTAACCCAGCTTTTGAAACACTTTAACTCAACTTTTCAAACACTTTATAAACCCAGCTTTTCAAACACGTTTTAAACCCAGCTTTTCAAACACTTTAATCCAACTTTTCAAACACGTTTTAAACTCAGCTTTTCAAACATTTTAACCCAGCTTTTCAAACATGTTTTAAATCCAGCTTTGAAACACTTTAACACAACTTTTCAAACATGTTTTAAACCCAGCTTTTCAAACACTTTAACCCAGCTTTTCAAACACTTTATAAACCCAGCTTTTCAAACACGTTTTAAACCCAGCTTTTCAAACACTTTAACCCAGCTTTTCAAACACTTTAACCCAACTTTTCAAACACGTTTTAAACCCAGCTTTTCAAACACTTTAACCCAGCTTTTCAAACATTTTATAAACCCAACTTTTCAAACATTTTATAAACCCAACTTTTCAAACATTTTATAAACCCAACTTTTCAAACTCTTTTTCAACCAGATGGCCTATATACAAGTAATTTGCCTCAAATCAGTAAGACTTTGTGGTCATGATTATTTTTTTAATATTTCAAGCAAAATCATGACGAACGCTGCTCGGAGGCCATGAGTATGACAGTGTCTCCAGATAGGGCGATATCAGGACAGAAGGAAGAATGGATGAATGTGGAAATGCCACGTGAAACAAGAGCTGCCCTCAAGGGTTCCCAGCGCATGGTAAGCAGCTTTTGATGAGTCACACATCAATACATCAACAAACTGAATGAGTAAAACTTTATAAATCTGTATTTCGGTAACAAATTGTGTTTTGAATGTTTGTTCACATTACAGGTAAAACTGATAGGTCCTCACAGTCCTCTGGAGATGAGCTTCCACAGCATGACGTTCGTAGGCAGACTGAGGTATGTAGCTATCACCTGTGTGTACCTGTACCCCCTCTCTCACAGACATGTGTGTGTACTTGTACCCCCTCTCTCACAGACACATGTAACTGTACCCCATGCTCACAGACACGTATGTACCTGTACCCCCTCTCTCACAGACACACGTATATACCTGTACCCCATCTCTCACAGACACATGTATGTACCTCTACCCCCTCTCTCACAGACACACGTATGTACCTGTACCCTCTCTCACAGATACATGTATGTACCTCTACCCCCCTCTCTCACAGACACACATATGTACCTGTACCCCCTCTTTCACAGACACATGTGTGTACCTGTACCCCCTCTCTCACAGACATGTGTGTGTACTTGTACCCCCGCACTCACAGACACGTTTGTGTACCTGTACCCCCTCTCTCACAGACACGTGCAACTGTACCCCGTCTCTCACTGACACATGTAACTTTCCCGTGCTCACAGACATGTGTGTGTACTTGTACCCCCTCTCTCACAGATATATGTATGTACCTCTACCCCCTCTCTCACAGACACATGTATGTACCTGTAACTCTATTGGCCTCCTGTATATCTCAAAGACACAAATTTTATGTGTAAACATTCCCACTGCTGCGTCCTAAGAATATTGTCAGTATTGAAAGGTGCTGTCATGTTTTCTGTTTTGTGCCAGAGGCTCTAGGATAGACCAGGACAGCATCAACTCTGTAGCCATAGATGACGAGCCGCAGAACAGCCACGCCCGCATGATGGTGGCAGCATTTGTTGGTCTGAACCCCCAGGGGTCAGTGATGATGGCAAGGGACACGACGATCATGCCACTGATCCCAGGCCTGCCAGGTCTCATGTGTCTGCTGTTTGCTCCTGTGGCAGAACTCAGGTGAAACTGCAGCTTCTCCTCCACGTATAGGTTTAACCTGGATATAATTGTTGCCTCAAGCGCTCTTTGTTTTTGAAACCATGCACTGCTTGGATATCTAAGGATGTCATATCATCATTTTTATGTGTCATGTCAAGGGTCAAGGTCATCCTCATGACTCTGGCGGTCAGGTAGCTTATTGGTTGAAGCGTTTGCACGTCATGCTGAAGACCCGGGTTTGATTCCTGACATGGGTACAATGTGTGAAGCCCATTTCTGGTGTCCCCAGCTGTGATATTGCTGGAATATTGCTAATCGTGTCTTCCTTAGAGCAGTGCCCAGATCGTGTCTTCCTTAGAGCAGTGCCCAGATCGTGTCTTCCTTAGAGCAGTGCCCAGGTCGTGTCTTCCTTAGAGCATTGCCCAGATGGTGTCTTCCTTAGAGCAGTGCCTAGATTGTGTCTTCCCTAGAGCAGTGCCCAGATCGTGTCTTCCTTAGAGCAGTGCCCAGATCGTGTCTTCCTTAGAGCAGTGCCCAGGTCGTGTCTTCCTTAGAGCATTGCCCAGATGGTGTCTTCCTTAGAGCAGTGCCCAGATCGTGTCTTCCTTAGAGCAGTGCCCAGGTCGTGTCTTCCTTAGAGCATTGCCCAGATCGTGTCTTCCTTAGAGCATTGCCCAGGTCGTGTCTTCCTTAGAGCAGTGCCCAGGTCGTGTCTTCCTTAGAGCAGTGCCCAGATCATGTCTTCCTTAGAGCAGTGCCCAGATCGTGTCTTCCTTAGAGCAGTGCCTAGATCGTGTCTTCCTTAGAGCATTGCCCAGGTCGTGTCTTCCTTAGAGCATTGCCCAGATGGTGTCTTCCTTAGAGCAGTGCCCAGATCGTGTCTTCCTTAGAGCAGTGCACAGGTCGTGTCTTCCTTAGAGCAGTGCCCAGATCGTGTCTTCCTTAGAGCAGTGCCCAGGTCGTGTCTTCCTTAGAGCAGTGCCCAGTTGGTGTCTTCCTTAGAGCAGTGCCTAGATTGTGTCTTCCCTAGAGCAGTGCCCAGATCGTGTCTTCCTTAGAGCAGTGCCCAGATCGTGTCTTCCTTAGAGCATTGCCCAGGTCGTGTCTTCCTTAGAGCATTGCCCAGATGGTGTCTTCCTTAGAGCAGTGCCCAGATCGTGTCTTCCTTAGAGCAGTGCCCAGTTGGTGTCTTCCTTAGAGCAGTGCCTAGATTGTGTCTTCCCTAGAGCAGTGCCCAGATCGTGTCTTCCTTAGAGCAGTGCCCAGATCGTGTCTTCCTTAGAGCATTGCCCAGGTCGTGTCTTCCTTAGAGCATTGCCCAGATGGTGTCTTCCTTAGAGCAGTGCCCAGATCGTGTCTTCCTTAGAGCAGTGCACAGGTCGTGTCTTCCTTAGAGCATTGCCCAGATCGTGTCTTCCTTAGAGCAGTGCCCAGGTCGTGTCTTCCTTAGAGCAGTGCCCAGTTGGTGTCTTCCTTAGAGCAGTGCCTAGATTGTGTCTTCCCTAGAGCAGTGCCCAGATCGTGTCTTCCTTAGAGCAGTGCCCAGATCGTGTCTTCCTTAGAGCATTGCCCAGGTCGTGTCTTCCTTAGAGCATTGCCCAGATGGTGTCTTCCTTAGAGCATTGCCCAGATGGTGTCTTCCTTAGAGCAGTGCCCAGATCGTGTCTTCCTTAGAGCAGTGCCCAGGTCGTGTCTTCCTTAGAGCAGTGCCCAGATCGTGTCTTCCTTAGAGCATTGCCCAGGTTGTGTCTTCCTTAGAACAGTGCCCTCCTTAGAACAGTGCCCAGGTCGTGTCTTCCTTAGAGCAGTGCCCAGATCGTGTCTTCCTTAGAGCAGTGCCCAGATCGTGTCTTCCTTAGAGCAGTGCCCAGGTCGTGTCTTCCTTAGAGCATTGCCCAGATGGTGTCTTCCTTAGAGCAGTGCCTAGATTGTGTCTTCCCTAGAGCAGTGCCCAGATCGTGTCTTCCTTAGAGCAGTGCCCAGATCGTGTCTTCCTTAGAGCAGTGCCCAGGTCGTGTCTTCCTTAGAGCATTGCCCAGATGGTGTCTTCCTTAGAGCAGTGCCCAGATCGTGTCTTCCTTAGAGCAGTGCCCAGGTCGTGTCTTCCTTAGAGCAGTGCCCAGATCGTGTCTTCCTTAGAGCATTGCCCAGGTCGTGTCTTCCTTAGAGCAGTGCCCAGGTCGTGTCTTCCTTAGAGCAGTGCCCAGATCATGTCTTCCTTAGAGCAGTGCCCAGATCGTGTCTTCCTTAGAGCAGTGCCTAGATCGTGTCTTCCTTAGAGCATTGCCCAGGTCGTGTCTTCCTTAGAGCATTGCCCAGATGGTGTCTTCCTTAGAGCAGTGCCCAGATCGTGTCTTCCTTAGAGCAGTGCACAGGTCGTGTCTTCCTTAGAGCAGTGCCCAGATCGTGTCTTCCTTAGAGCAGTGCCCAGGTCGTGTCTTCCTTAGAGCAGTGCCCAGTTGGTGTCTTCCTTAGAGCAGTGCCTAGATTGTGTCTTCCCTAGAGCAGTGCCCAGATCGTGTCTTCCTTAGAGCAGTGCCCAGATCGTGTCTTCCTTAGAGCATTGCCCAGGTCGTGTCTTCCTTAGAGCATTGCCCAGATGGTGTCTTCCTTAGAGCAGTGCCCAGATCGTGTCTTCCTTAGAGCAGTGCCCAGTTGGTGTCTTCCTTAGAGCAGTGCCTAGATTGTGTCTTCCCTAGAGCAGTGCCCAGATCGTGTCTTCCTTAGAGCAGTGCCCAGATCGTGTCTTCCTTAGAGCATTGCCCAGGTCGTGTCTTCCTTAGAGCATTGCCCAGATGGTGTCTTCCTTAGAGCAGTGCCCAGATCGTGTCTTCCTTAGAGCAGTGCACAGGTCGTGTCTTCCTTAGAGCAGTGCCCAGATCGTGTCTTCCTTAGAGCAGTGCCCAGGTCGTGTCTTCCTTAGAGCAGTGCCCAGTTGGTGTCTTCCTTAGAGCAGTGCCTGGATTGTGTCTTCCCTAGAGCAGTGCCCAGATCGTGTCTTCCTTAGAGCAGTGCCCAGATCGTGTCTTCCTTAGAGCATTGCCCAGGTCGTGTCTTCCTTAGAGCATTGCCCAGATGGTGTCTTCCTTAGAGCATTGCCCAGATGGTGTCTTCCTTAGAGCAGTGCCCAGATCGTGTCTTCCTTAGAGCAGTGCCCAGGTCGTGTCTTCCTTAGAGCATTGCCCAGATCGTGTCTTCCTTAGAGCATTGCCCAGGTCGTGTCTTCCTTAGAACAGTGCCCTCCTTAGAACAGTGCCCAGGTCGTGTCTTCCTTAGAGCAGTGCCCAGATCGTGTCTTCCTTAGAGCAGTGCCCAGATCGTGTCTTCCTTAGAGCAGTGCACAGGTCGTGTCTTCTTTAGAGCAGTGCCCAGATCATGTCTTCCTTAGAGCAGTGCCCAGGTCGTGTCTTCCTTAGAGCAGTGCCCAGTTGGTGTCTTCCTTAGAGCAGTGCCCAGGTCGTGTCTTCCTTAGAGCATTGCCCAGATGGTGTCTTCCTTAGAGCAGTGCCCAGATCGTGTCTTCCTTAGAGCATTGCCCACGTTGTGTCTTCCTTAGAGCAGTGCCCAGGTCGTGTCTTCCTTAGAGCAGTGCCCAGATCGTGTCTTCCTTAGAGCAGTGCCTAGATTGTGTCTTCCTTAGAGCAGTGCCCAGATCGTGTCTTCCTTAGAGCAGTGCCCAGGTCGTGTCTTCCTTAGAGCAGTGCCTAGATCGTGTCTTCCTTAGAGCATTGCCCAGGTCGTGTCTTCCTTAGAGCATTGCCCAGATGGTGTCTTCCTTAGAGCAGTGCCCAGATCGTGTCTTCCTTAGAGCAGTGCCCAGGTCGTGTCTTCCTTAGAGCAGTGCCCAGATCGTGTCTTCCTTAGAGCAGTGCCCAGGTCGTGTCTTCCTTAGAGCAGTGCCCAGATCGTGTCTTCCTTAGAGCAGTGCCCAGGTCGTGTCTTCCTTAGAGCATTGCCCAGATGGTGTCTTCCTTAGAGCAGTGCCCAGATCGTGTCTTCCTTAGAGCATTGCCCACATTGTGTCTTCCTTAGAACAGTGCCCAGGTCGTGTCTTCCTTAGAGCAGTGCCCAGATCGTGTCTTCCTTAGAGCAGTGCCTAGATTGTGTCTTCCTTAGAGCAGTGCCCAGATCGTGTCTTCCTTAGAGCAGTGCCCAGGTCGTGTCTTCCTTAGAGCAGTGCCCAGATCGTGTTTTCCTTAGAGCAGTGCCCAGGTCGTGTCTTCCTTAGAGCATTGCCCAGATCGTGTCTTCCTTAGAGCAGTGCCCAGATCGTGTCTTCCTTAGAGCATTGCCCACGTTGTGTCTTCCTTAGAGCATTGCCCAGATCGTGTCTTCCTTAGAGCAGTGCCCAGATCGTGTCTTCCTTAGAGCAGTGCCCAGGTCGTGTCTTCCTTAGAGCATTGCCCAGATCGTGTCTTCCTTAGAGCATTGCCCAGATCGTGTCTTCCTTAGAGCAGTGCCCAGGTCGTGTCTTCCTTAGAGCATTGCCCAGGTCGTGTCTTCCTTAGAGCAGTGCCCAGATCGTGTCTTCCTTAGAGCAGTGCCCAGGTCGTGTTTTCCTTAGAGCATTGCCCAGGTCGTGTCTTCCTTAGAGCAGTGCCCAGATCGTGTCTTCCTTAGAGCAGTGCCCAGGTCGTGTCTTCCTTAGAGCAGTGCCCAGGTCGTGTCTTCCTTAGAGCATTGCCCAGGTCGTGTCTTCCTTAGAGCATTGCCCAGGTCGTGTCTTCCTTAGAGCAGTGTCCAGATCGTGTCTTCCTTAGAGCATTGCCCAGGTCGTGTCTTCCTTAGAGCAGTGCCCAGATCATGTCTTCCTTAGAGCATTGCCCACGTTGTGTCTTCCTTAGAGCAGTGTCCAGGTCGTGTCTTCCTTAGAGCAGTGCCCAGGTCGTGTCTTCCTTAGAGCATTGCCCAGATCGTGTCTTCCTTAGAGCAGTGCCCAGGTCGTGTCTTCCTTAGAGCAGTGCCCAGATCGTGTCTTCCTTAGAGCAGTGCCCAGGTCGTGTCTTCCTTAGAGCATTGCCCAGGTCGTGTCTTCCTTAGAGCATTGCCCAGGTCGTGTCTTCCTTAGAGCAGTGCCCAGATGGTGTCTTCCTTAGAGCAGTGCCTAGATCGTGTCTTCCTTAGAGCAATGCCCAGGTCGTGTCCTCCTAAGAGCAGTGCCCAGGTCGTGTCTTCCTTAGAGCAGTGCCTAGATCGTGTCTTTCTTAGAGCAGTGCCTAGATTGTGTCTTCCTTAGAGCAGTGCCCAGATCGTGTCTTCCTTAGAGCATTGCCCAGGTCGTGTCTTCCTTAGAGCAGTGCCCAGGTCGTGTCTTCCTTAGAGCAGTGCCCAGGTCGTGTCTTCCTTAGAGCAGTGCCCAGATCGTGTCTTCCTTAGAGCAGTGCCCAGATCATGTCTTCCTTAGAGCATTGCCCAGGTCGTGTCTTCCTTAGAGCATTGCCCAGGTCGTGTCTTCCTTAGAGCATTGCCCAGGTCGTGTCTTCCTTAGAGCATTGCCCAGGTCGTGTCTTCCTTAGAGCAGTGCCCAGATCGTGTCTTCCTTAGAGCAGTGCCCAGATCGTGTCTTCCTTAGAGCAGTGCCCAGGTCGTGTCTTCCTTAGAGCATTGCCCAGATCGTGTCTTCCTTAGAGCATTGCCCAGATCGTGTCTTCCTTAGAGCAGTGCCCAGTTGGTGTCTTCCTTAGAGCATTGCCCAGATCGTGTCTTCCTTAGAGCAGTGCCCAGATCGTGTCTTCCTTAGAGCAGTGCCCAGGTCGTGTCTTCCTTAGAGCATTGCCCAGGTCGTGACTTCCTTAGAGCAGTGCCCAGATCGTGTCTTCCTTAGAGCAGTGCCCAGGTCGTGTCTTCCTTAGAGCATTGCCCAGGTCGTGTCTTCCTTAGAGCAATGCCCAGATCGTGTCTTCCTTAGAGCAGTGCCCAGGTCGTGTCTTCCTTAGAGCAGTGCCCAGGTCGTGTCTTCCTTAGAGCATTGCCCAGGTCGTGTCTTCCTTAGAGCATTGCCCAGGTCGTGTCTTCCTTAGAGCAGTGTCCAGGTCGTGTCTTCCTTAGAGCATTGCCCAGATCGTGTCTTCCTTAGAGCAGTGCCCAGATCGTGTCTTCCTTAGAGCAGTGCCCAGATCATGTCTTCCTTAGAGCATTGCCCAGGTCGTGTCTTCCTTAGAGCAGTGCCCAGGTCGTGTCTTCCTTAGAGCATTGCCCAGATCGTGTCTTCCTTAGAGCAGTGTCCAGGTAGTGTCTTCCTTAGAGCAGTGCCCAGGTCATGTCTTCCTTAGAGCAGTGCACAGGTCGTGTCTTCCTTAGAGCAGTGCCCAGATCGTGTCTTCCTTAGAGCAGTGCCCAGATCGTGTCTTCCTTAGAGCAGTGCCCAGATCGTGTCTTCCTTAGAGCATTGCCCAGGTCGTGTCTTCCTTAGAGCAGTGCCCAGATCGTGTCTTCCTTAGAGCAGTGCCCAGGTCGTGTCTTCCTTAGAGCAGTGCCCAGGTCGTGTCTTCCTTAGAGCATTGCCCAGGTCGTGTCTTCCTTAGAGCATTGCCCAGGTCGTGTCTTCCTTAGAGCAGTGTCCAGGTCGTGTCTTCCTTAGAGCATTGCCCAGATCGTGTCTTCCTTAGAGCAGTGCCCAGATCATGTCTTCCTTAGGTCAGTGCCCAGGTCGTGTCTTCCTTAGAGCAGTGCCCAGGTCGCTACCGGTTATCATTGACCTATGTATGAGGTCAGGGTCACAGTGAAGGTCATTTGTAAAGTATGTTTTCCATTTTCACTAAAATACCTATTTCTGACAATATTGTTTAAGACTTATACATGTTGTTCTGTTATCTGAATACACATGTATGATGAGAGCGATGACAGGTCGCAGTGACCTCCTTTCAATGAGTAGGATATGCCGTTTTCACATTGAATCATCTTGGTACAACGTGATCATGTTTGATGTTGGAATTGACGGTCTTGAAATACATGCACCTGATATTGAAGGTCAAAGTCACTATTTCTACTGGGATACCAAGAGGCATGACAGGAATTTTGTTTCAGAAGATATGCGTTTTCACAAACCGGAAGTGATGCCATTAAACTGAAAGTGCTTATTTTAGGGTAGCTAGCTAGAGGCACAGAATGGTGGCATGGATAGATAAGGGTGAGGTGACCTGATTTGGTAGAGTCAGAATGGTTTATGATACAAGTTTCTGGAGGGAGTGTTTTGGACATTCAGTGGAGGAATGGTACTGCTGCTTCTGTTTTTGAAGAGGATTTTGTAAAAAAAACAGATAAATCTTTAATTAAAACTATGAGGCTAAATATTAAGTTTTTGAAAAAACATCTTACAACAATGTATTTTTTGTGGCAATTTCATATTTTTTTCACTCTCCCTCCGATTGTCAAATGGTCGGTCCCTAATGTAAACACCTTTTTAGTTGTAAGGGTGTGTGGTAGTAAGTAGCTATGTGTATGTATTAGTGATAACTGCAACATTGATCTCTACATGATCTTCAGGGTTTAGTTTCTGCATTCCACTGCATTGTACAATTTTCGTCCTCAACCCTTGCTTCATCTGGCTGTATTATTAACTGATGTGTGTTTTTCTCCAGGACAAATGCAAAACGAACCCATTACACTGGAGCCATCTGTGGCCTTGGATATGAAGACAAGACCAACTATCCCATCCTTCCTGACCATGACATAGAGGTCACCTTTGACACTCACATCAATGATGAGGACATTGACCTGGTTAGTTGTGTACCTGCAATGACCCTCTTGAAGAAATCACCTTTCCCGGGGGATGTAGATTTTAAGGCTGTTTTCTATTTAGCCTGCTGCTCAGATACAAAATTTATTCTTTCCTTGAAAACTCATGTCATGTGAATTCGGCTTGGGCAAGTACAGTGATCCCTCGCTATTGGGCTCTTCGATAAAGCGCTACCTCGGTTACCACGCGCGGTATCGCATGGCTCCCAAAATTTATGTACACTTTTAATACTGAGAGTTTTACACAGTCGTGATTGTATTGGTGTTCGTTGTTCATTTGCACATAACACTTCTCATTGCATAATCAACCGTTTATCGCTGAATGGAGTTCTAAAAATCTGTTTGAAAACATCCGCGGCAAGTCCCGGAAAAACGATTGTTCTACTAGTTAACTTTTCACACTATACATCCTTTGATCTTAGAAGCGCATGCATACAATAAAAGAGAACCACAAGCGAAGTTTATTTTCTTAATTAGTGGGCAATCCAATTTGAGGCGACACTTGTCAACTCACATGTAGTTGCTGTCACAACATAGCGGTCATTCCTTTTGATTCGGATCAAGTAACCGTATCAAACCAATTAATCTGGCTTGAATGTATATCTATATTTGCATGAATGTGTATGAATGCGCATAGTGCTGGTCAAAACTCTCGTTTTCCGTATTTTAAGCAACATGACCAATCAATGCCACTGAATCACTCTGTACTTGTGTAATGAATTGTAATTGGCTCTTCACTCATAGCGTCTGTTACTACCATTATCGATCGATATTTTCATGTAAGTAGACTACATTCACATTGAATGTGACAGTTAAGGCTTGTAAATAATAACAAACGGCGAAAACATAATGGATATATATTTTTACACTATGAACAGTAAACAACTTGTATCATTGCAATGTACGAGACAAGGCGAAGATCGTGAGATTGGCCGAGCGAGCTCCCCCACCTCGGCCTCGGTTAAACGGCTCATCGTCTATAACGCCCACCAATTATTTGGACCCCATTGGTAGCGTTGTAGCGAGGGACCACTGTACCTCCTGTTCTGATCCTTTTGTGGTTTGCTGTTAGAGAGCTGAAGTTCAGAAGCCATGATGGCATTTAAATGTTGTGTTTGAGGAAGTGTCTGAAATTAAAAAAATCGCCAGGCTGCCATCAGGACCCACAGACTTTTGAAATTGCAAACCCTGACTAAACTCTTCAGGGCCCTCATTAAAAAAATGCAGCTTATTGTGACAAATATATCGACACCTAAATTTACTGTAGGCCTGACCCAGTCAAATTTGAAACTATGGGCCCGACACAATATCTATGGTGGATGACAGTTCAGGGGTTTCTGGTTTTGCTTAATTGTCTTTTTGAATGTATTGTGTGTTTTCAGATCAACTGTGTGCGTCTTGCCATCAATGTGACGGTCGGGAAGCAGGACGCTGTGTCCTGGAGTGGTAGTGCCATAGAGAAGCTGCAGGACAACGCCAGGAACAAGCTACTCCGGTGGGGCTCGTGTGTGGGTGTGGGTGTGGGTGTGTGTGTGTGTGTGTGTGTGTCGGTGTGTGAGTGAGGGTGTGTGTGTCAGTGGGGGTGTCTGTGTGGATGGGTGTCTCTGTGTGTGAGTATGTGGGTGTCGGTGTGTGGGTGTCTGTGTGTGAGTGAGGGTGTGCGTGTTAGTGGGGGTGTCTGTGTGGATGGGTGTCTCTGTGTGTGAGTATGTGGGTGTCGGTGTGTGGGTGCCTGTGTGTGAGAGTGTGTGGGGTGGGGTGGGGTGTCAGTGAGTAGTGTGTGTGAGTTTCTGTCTGTGTGTGAGTGTATTTGGGAGTGTCTGTGGGTGTGGGTATGTTAGAGTGTGTGTGTGCAAGAGTGCATGCAAGCGTGTGGGGACAAATTGGTTAGATAAATGCAACATACTAGAGCTGTACACTTTTAGAGGAAAGATTGCAATGAGATACCAGCTTTGATGAATGTTTGATACATTGTTAAGATTGAGTTTTTATTGCCTTCTTTCAGCCTGGTGGAGCAAAGGAGAGAGCCTATTGAGCCTTGTAACTACGATAAGGCTTATCACTGGAATCAGGTAGGCATTGCTATCACTGGAATCAGGTAGGCATTGCTATCACAGGCATCAGGTAGGCATTGCTATCACTGGAATCAGGTAGGCATTGCTATCACTGGCATCAGGTAGGCATTGCTATCACTGGCATCAGGTAGACATTGCTATCACTGGCATCAGGTAGGCATTGCTATCACTGGAATCAGGTAGGCATTGCTATCACTGGCATCAGGTAGGCATTGCTATCACTGGAATCAGGTAGGCATTGCTATCACTGGAATCAGGTAGGCATTGCTATCACTGGAATCAGGTAGGCATTGCTATCACTGGAATCAGGTAGGCATTGCTATCACTGGAATCAGGTAGGCAGTGCTATCACTGGAATCAGGTAGGCAGTGCTATCACTGGCATCAGGTAGACATTGCTATCACTGGCATCAGGTAGGCATTGCTATCACTGGAATCAGGTAGGCATTGCTATCACTGGAATCAGGTAGGCATTGCTATCACTGGAATCAGGTAGGCATTGCTATCACTGGAATCAGGTAGGCATTGCTATCACTGGAATCAGGTAGGCAGTGCTATCACTGGAATCAGGTAGGCAGTGCTATCACTGGAATCAGGTAGGCAGTGCTATCACTGGAATCAGGTAGGCATTGCTATCACTGGAATCAGGTAGGCATTGCTATCACTGGAATCAGGTAGGCATTGCTATCACTGGCATCAGGTAGGCATTGCTATCACTGGCATCAGGTAGGCATTGCTATCACTGGAATCAGGTAGGCATTGCTATCACTGGAATCAGGTAGGCATTGCTATCACTGGCATCAGGTAGGCATTGCTATCACTGGAATCAGGTAGGCATTGCTATCACTGGAATCAGGTAGGCATTGCTATCACTGGAATCAGGTAGGCATTGCTATCACTGGAATCAGGTAGGCATTGCTATCACTGGAATCAGGTAGGCATTGCTATCACTGGCATCAGGTAGGCATTGCTATCACTGGCATCAGGTAGGCATTGCTATCACTGGAATCAGGTAGGCATTGCTATCACTGGCATCAGGTAGGCATTGCTATCACTGGCATCAGGTAGGCATTGCTATCACTGGCATCAGGTAGGCATTGCTATCACTGGAATCAGGTAGGCATTGCTATCACTGGCATCAGGTAGGAATTGCTATCACTGGCATCAGGTAGGCATTGCTATCACTGGAATCAGGTAGGCATTGCTATCACTGGAATCAGGTAGGCATTGCTATCACTGGAATCAGGTAGGCATTGCTATCACTGGAATCAGGTAGGCATTGCTATCACTGGCATCAGGTAGGCATTGCTATCACTGGAATCAGGTAGGCATTGCTATCACTGGAATCAGGTAGGCATTGCTATCACAGGCATCAGGTAGGCATTGCTATCACTGGCATCAGGTAGGCATTGCTATCACTGGAATCAGGTAGGCATTGCTATCACTGGAATCAGGTAGGCATTGCTATCACTGGAATCAGGTAGGCATTGCTATCACTGGAATCAGGTAGGTATTGCTATCACTGGCATCAGGTAGGCATTGCTATCACAGGTATTAGGTAGACATTGCTGTCATAGGCATCAGGTAGACATTGCTATCATAGGCATCAGGTAGGCATTGCTATCACAAGCATCAGGTAGGCATTGCTATCACTGGCATCAGTTAGGCATTGCTATCACTGGCATTAGGTAGACATTGCTATCACTGGCATCATGTAGGCATTGCTATCACTGGCATCATGTAGGCATTGCTATCACTGGCATCAGTTAGGCATTGCTATCACTGGCATCATGTAGGCATTGCTATCACTGGCATGGATTTGGCACATTTTAAATATGCACACTGTTGTTAATGTTTATTATTATTTTGTTTTAGATTGCCCCGAAGTACCTGATGGAGCCACCATCATGCCGGCAGGACACTGACGAACTAGTTCTGCTCAACCCTCATTATGCCATTCGACTGGCCAGACCGGATGAGACAGAGAGAATCTCCCTCCTTGATGAAGTCCGTCACAGTGACTACCTGAAACACCATCTGCAGGAGCTGAAGACACTCTCCATCAGGTTAGGTTATCTCTATTGTGCTCATGGCAGCTGAGGGGTGGTCGGGTAGCCAAGTGGTTAAAGCGTTCGATCGTCACGCCGAAGACCCTGGTTCAATTCCTGACATGGGTACAATGTGTGAAGCCCATTTCTGGTGTCCCCCGCTGTGATATTTCTTGAATATTGCTAAAAGTGGCGTAAAACCACACACGCGCACACGCACACGCACACGCACACGCACACACACTGAAGAGAAACATAGCGATCTCTGTTAAGGGTCTGCTATAACAGAGATGCCAACCATGCTTATGCTTTTGTTTGAATAGTGAAGCTTATGGGCTTAAAATTACGTTATTACGTATAAGCTTGTCCTCCCCAAATTACGATTTTTCACATTTTCTTCACAAATTATTTACATGCATAAAATCTCATGGAGAGCAAATTAAGTGTGCACCAGTCACGTGAAGCATTCTACAGGGAACAAACTGCATGTACAGCAGTACTTCTTGGGGGTTCGAAACACCACATTCTCTTTCGGCGATTGAGTTACTGATATATTTTCACATGATGAATATTATGAATGTGTAGAGCTTTGACCACGTGTTACGGCAAGAATGCAGTTTTTGTTGTCATCTTTGTCGCCTTGCTAAATTAACAGGATTGGGTGGGGGGGGCGGGTAAGGCTTTCACCCAAACAACAGCTTGAATTAAATTCTTTCGCAGGTGAGCATCTTTTTTTAATTTCCAAAAATATACAAAATACAATGTGTTTGTTGAAATATGGCTCTGATTGATGTCAATGGCGAGGTCGTCACATGTCGTTATGGAACGTCTGTTGGTTCTAGTCCTTTATGGATGTTGATGTCCATTTTTTTATGTTTTTGGGTTCCTTTGATATTCAACTTCGAGGTATAATCATTATAATCCATTCCAACACAAGTGAAGTTTCTGCTTATTTTGAGCTTAAACGCCCTGTTTTTTAGAATTATGCGGCTGTATTACAAACATCAATGCATGTGTAGCAATGTTTCACGTAAGTCTAGGTCAAAGCGACAACCTACACCATGATGCTCTTAGCATTACTCTTTTCCACATGAAATTATGTTTTTTTACCCCACCGATTACTCCAGAGCTTCATTTAGGGTTGGCACCTCTGCTATCGGTCAACATTCATCAGTATGTAGGTTCACGAAATGTCATTAAACCATTAACAGCAGCAGTAAGTACTACTCACAAATAGTGGATCACCTGATTTTTTCATATTACTTTAGTTTATCAGGAGAGATTACCTTAGTGATATTAAATAATTAGGTGGCCCTTAACTTTTTTGGAGTAGCATTTGAGGAACCCAGCATTGTATGTTGTGAAACATTATCCTGTCCGCAGGCACCGGAGTGACACTGTGACCTGTGAGCTGTGCGATGTGTTGTGCAAGACTCCAAGAACGCTGTCTGCCCACCTACAATCAGACAGTCATATTGCCAAAGAGAACAAGCTGTATGGCTTGTACCATTGACCGATCACTGCAGATCGATACCACACAGACTGGGTATCTGTGATAGCTGTGCCAAATACTCATTTCTCAAGGAGACCATCATGTGATGACAGACATTCATTCAACTTTGATATTCCATGTGGCAAACCATTTTAGGCTGGAGATATATTTTGTTTTGGCCAATACCAAAGATGTGAAAATGGCAATTTTTCGTTATCTGTTTATGTAAACTGCAAGTTATGTTTTTTTCATATGTAGAATGTAATAGAATTGTGTTTAACTGTGAGTCAACTCCTGAAGGAGATAACCTAGTAGTGGCGTCACAGAGAGGGCGAAATACACCCTGGGCCCATCATTGCGTTTTGTTTCAGTGCAAGGGATTATGTCCTGTTAGTTATTTTGTTTAGAAGATTATGGCTAAAGTACAAAAAAAACTAATCACTGGTGTTTTAATTCATAATTTTTTACACGGAAACTATAAACATGTATGGGAAAAAATAGTTGACAGTCGTTTCAGTTATTACTATTTCTCCATTGAAATAGTAGATACTGGGCACAAGTGCAAGTATGTTTCCTGGTATTGGAGGCTGATCCTGGCTTAGGCTTGATGTGGTTTGCCAGTGAGAACTATTAGCAGAAACAGTCTGTGTAATCTCTTCCTCCTCCACCAAGTGGAGGGCGATTAGCTTCTTGATCCAGTGTTGCATGCAGACAGATCCGGTTTGACCTGGCATACCTCAAGGGAATGCACTTCATGCCCCTGCATTTCCACACTACATGCCCCCTGTATTTCCACACTACATGCCCCCTGCATTGCCACACCACGTGCCCTTGCATTTCCACACTACATGCCCCCTGCATTGCCACACCACGTGCCCTTGCATTTCCACACTTCATGCCCCTGCATTTCCACACTTCATGCCCCTGTATTTCCACACTTCATGCCCCTGCATTTCCACACTTCATGCCCCTGTATTTCCACACTTCATGCCCCTGCATTTCCACACTTCATGCCCCTGCATTTCCACACTTCATGCCCCTGCATTTCCACACTTCATGCCCCTGCATTTCCACACTTCATGCCCCCTGTATTTCCACACTTCATGCCCCTGCATTTCCACACTACATGCCCCCTGTATTTCCACACTTCATGCCCCTGCATTTCCACACTTCATGCCCCTGCATTTCCACACTTCATGCCCCTGCATTTCCACACTTCATGCCCCTGCATTTCCACACTTCATGCCCCTGCATTTCCAAGCTTCATGCCCCTGCATTTCCACACTTCATGCCCATGCATTTCCACACTTCATGCCCCCTGCATTGCCACACCACGTGCCCTTGCATTTCCACACTACATGCCCCCTGCATTGCCACACCACGTGCCCTTGCATTTCCACACCACGTGCCCCTGCATTTCCACACTACATGCCCCCTGCATTTCCACACTTCATGCCCCCTGCATTGCCACACTACGTGCCCTTGCATTTCCACACTACATGCCCCCTGCATTTCCACACCACGTGCCCTTGCATTTCCACACTACATGCCCCCTGCATTGCCACACGAGGTGCCCTTGCATTTCCACACCACGTGCCCCTGCATTTCCACACTACATGCCCCCTGCATTTCCACACTTCATGCCCCCTGCATTGCCACACTACGTGCCCCTGCATTTCCACACCAGGTGCCCCCTGCATTGCCACACCACGTGCCCTTGCATTTCCACACTTCATGCCCCCTGCATTTCCACACCACGTGCCAAAAACCATTATTTTGCTGTTATCCACTAAGATTTTATATGAGATTTATGTTGACTCTAAATATTGTGCCTTATTATTGTGTTTGTACCGAATGGTAATGTTCAGTTTATTTGAAATATCATTATTCCTCTGTTGAAGTGCAATGTGGTCACAGTGCAAATGGCAAGTTGCTTCAGTATAATAAATGATTGTTTTCTTGATGTGTGTCAAACTGTTTTCTTAAAGAAGAGACCAGGAAGAGACTCAGGTAGCAGCTGATCAGACTTGACACTGTCATGATGCTCTTCACTGTAATACTGCTTGATGTATTGGCAGTTTCTGCTGCTGCTGAAATAATGTCAAGATTTCTCAAATGTCCACAGGCGAGTTTCAGTCTCTGAGAATGGCCGAAATCCACAGAGTAATGCAGGGTTGGTTAGAGTATATATGCAGACTCAAGATTAATAGAGGGGCCACGGGTGGCCCAGTCGTCTAAGGCGCCGCAGAGTTGCGTCCCTTGGGCACGCCAGAAACCTATGATTGTGGGTTCGAATCCCGGTTAGCCCCGATTATGTTTCTAGGTTTGTCAGCACCATACCCATGCTTGTGGGTTTCACCGAAGTGGTAAACGTCTAAGACCTGCATCACTTCGGGCTTTCCTCCCACATTAAGCTGACACGCCGCGATATAACTGGAATATTGTTAAAAGCGGCATTAAACCCAACTCACTCACTCACTCACTCATTCAAGGTAAATTGAACCGTGTGGCATCATTCAAGGTCTACCAGCTCCGTCGTCTAATGGATAGAGGATCTACCCGGAGAGCAGGTTGGATGTTCCATCCTCAGTGTCATACCAAGAGATGTTAAAAGATGGTACTTGTTGTTATCCTGCCTGGCACATGGCATTTGGGGGCTAATATAAGGACTAGTCGGCCCAGAGTCAGTATACTGTGTTTGAGTGGGGTATCTTGAACGTGATGTTAAACCCCATTTTACCTTACTCACCTTCAGGGTCTGTTGATGGATCGTCTGTCACACTAGCAGTATCACTTCTGTGAACATAGACTTGCCTCATCTTCATCCATTCAGATATGAAATAGAATATGTGCACTGTATTTGTCTGTTTGTTTGTTTGTTGTTTAACACCGCATTCAGCAATATTACAGCTATATGATGGAGGTCTGTAAATAATCGAGTCTTGATCAGACAATCCACTGATTAACATCATGTGCATCGATCCAAGCAATTGGGATCAATGACATGCATCAACCAAGTCAGCGAGCCTGATCACCCAATGCCATTAGTCGCCTCTTACGAAAAACATAGTGCTTATTATGGCAAGCATGGCTTGCTGAAGACCTATTCTGACCTGGATCTTCACAGGTCATTTTCACTGTACATTAAGAAATATATTGTTACTAAAATGCTCTGCAATTGAACTTGCATGTACCTAATGTGCTACTCTATACCCTTCAGCCATGGAATATAATGGGACTATGCCACTCATGTATATTCATCAGCGTCAACGTTTTCGTCCTTTCTCGATGTAACTTGGTACATGTGACATCAGCATGTTCAATATACGATATAGTTACATTGAATTCCACCTTTAGATAGCTTTTTGTTTTATGTCTAGTGGATAGAGTTGGTTGGTTGGTTGTTTAACGCCACACTCAGCAATATTTCAGCTATATGACGGCGGTCTGTAAATAATCGAGTCTGGGCCAGACAATCCAGTGATTAATATCATGAGCATCGATCCACGCAATTGGGATACGATGACATGCATCAACCAAGTCAGCGAGCCTGACCACCCGATCCCGTTAGTCGCCTTTTACGACAAGCATGGGTTGCTGAAGACCTATTCTACCCCGGAATCTTCACGGGTCTAGTGGATAGAGAATCTGGAAGACTTTGCTTGCTATGTACTCATTCCATCTGATGCATTACTGCGTTTTACTGCCATATCTAGTTCCATAAAACTACATGCTACATATATTTAACAGCCACCATGGTCTAGTGGTAGAGCGTCCTCACGGATAGCGGAAGGTCGGGGTTCGATCCCGGCCGCGTCATAACAAAAGTCGTAAAAAAAAATATACTTGTTGTTATCCTGCCTGGCGCTCGGCACTAAGGGGATAAAACAAGGACTGGTCGGCTTGGAGTCAGTAAGCTGTGTCGGAGTGGTATTCATGTTAAACTGCGGCATGGTATCTAGCACTATAAAACCGGCATTAGTCTAGACTAGTACAATCAGCCACACACACAGAGTGCATGCACGTCTCAATATAAGTGCATTGATCTTGAACCGATGTTGAGCCTCATTTCATTCCACCTTTGGCTCGCATGATATTCTGTGCAGCGTAAAAGATGAAGCTCTATATTAACTGTTTAATCAGACTTTTACCGGGAATAAACAAAGATATTAATTTTGGTTCATATATGAAATATACCTAGGTGAGGTGAGGTGACGTGAGTGAGGTGAGGTGAAATAGAGTTTAACGTGGCGTTCAAGATTATTTCACTTATATTGCGCGTGCGTGCGTGCGTGTGTGTGGATGCTTGTACTAGTCCGGACTAATGCAAAGTTTATAGTGCTAGCCCACTGAGATACCATACCGTAGTTTAAAATGAATACCCCACTCAGACACAGTATAGTGACTCCGAGCCGACCAGTACTTGCTTTAGCCTCTTCATGCCGAGTGCCAGACAGGGTAACAACAAGTACCATCTTTAACGTCTTTTGTTATGATGCGGTCGGAAATCGAACCCCCGACCATCCGCTCTCTGGGCGGACGCTGTGCCACGAGACCACAGGGGTGGTTAGATATATGTAGTATGTAGTATGTAGTTGTATGGAACTAGACAGCGCAGTATAATGCAATAATGCATCGGATGGAATGAGTCCAGCAAAGCAAAGTCTTCCATTCTGGAATGGAGAATTATGATGTCTCTCCGTTAAGGGGAGGGTTGAGAGAGTTTAAATTTGAGGCAAATGTTGCGTCCTGTTCTGTACAAAATCTGGGATTAATGATTCTGCCTATTAAGAACAAGCAAAGTTTTGAAGGAATTTCAAACAAAACACAACACACACCGTCGAATACAGCAATACACAAACTGATTGACTCCACCCAAAAAGAAATAAGCAGGTGGGCGACACGGCTGTTTGCCTGTCTTCCCACCAACGGGAGAAATACGCAGCAGTCGTATTGTAAGAAGTAGGGCTGGGACGAGTCCGAATTTACTACCCGGGTACCCAACGCCCTATTACCCGCCCCTACCCGGGTACCCACTGTAGGTCTCAAGAGATAGGTACAAAATGTCCGATTGTGCATTTTGTTTTACCCTAGCCCTGGCAAAACGTATTTAGATACATGTATTAAACAATCTGGTCAAGCATATACTGAAGTTGAATTAAGTTATATCTTTATTCAGCCATATGAAAAGTCAGAAGGAATGGGTGCATAGTCAGAAAGAAATACGAACATTGGTGACTTGTAGTGTAACCATAGAGTTCTAGATACTTTTTGTCATAAAACAATATATCACGTGACTAACCACGGGTCCGGGTAGTCCTGTGGGTACCCTACTCAGTACCCAGCCCAGATACCCGAGTTACCCGTCCCAGCCCTAGTAAGAAGGGTAAAACTGTTCCTGTCCATCAAACGAAAATAATCGAAGAGTCTGCCAACAGCAGAATGTGACGACATGCTTGCGTGCTCTGGTAAACCACGGCCCTGTTTAGAAAGAGGGTCACAGGTCACTAAGTCATCCCAGCGGTAGGCGATGGGAAACCTCAATGACGACATTCAGCTATATCAAAATACAAATTAAAAGTTGTATTCTCCATTAAAGTACGAAAGCCTAAAGATGCCACTTTGGTACCTAATTTTATTTTTCCAAATCGAAATTTCTCGTTATTTCAATTATTTTCTCGTTACTTCTATTTTTTACTCGTTATTTCAAGTTCATTAAAACAACATTTCAATTATTTACTCCAAATTTCGAGGGTTGTTTTCGTTACTTCGATTAGTTGAATAATTGAAATAAAGAGAAATTTCGATTGAAAAAAAATAAATTATGGAACCAAAGTGGCACCGTTAGGCTTTCGTATTAAAGGTCTATTTAGAAGAGAGTGTCAATATTGAAAGAAGCAATGGGCAGTGCAACAAGCGTAACATCCAGTACTGAGAACTGCCACCGTCAGAAGCGCTGAAGTCTACCCGACCTGACAGCTGCCCAGGACAAACTATAACAGGGATGTATTCACGGATATGTACGAGGTTCGACTCGGAGATGTCCTATAGCATGACCCCCACGGGGCCCTGGGTTAGAACAAGTCCCCAGCACTTTATAGTCTGTCATAAGCCGTGACTAAACTGGATTAAGTGGATAAGCATGATGACTTGGTTGGCACGTACGTTGACAGCGTGGGGCGTTCATCTACAGTCGAACCTCGCTTATCCGGACACTTGCGTTTTCTTATTGTTCGGATAAACGAATTTCTGGATACCCTAATCCCATGTCAGTTACCTCCCCTACCCAAATTCTACGGAGGCAAAAGAGCTAATATTGTATGCATGAGATTAGTCGAGTATTTGAGCTGTAAAACCCTACATCGTATCCCTTCCGAGAATTCAGGTGAACGAACAGGTGAAAACAAACTTGGTTAATAAAAGTGAAATTTCTATATGATTCACTAGACATGATGATTTACCATTTAAGTTGTATTTCCTGTATAACAAAGCATTGTTTTAAATGCAGGGATTAACACTACCGTCTGTATTTTCTCGTAAACTAAGCCGGAAATAGCAATCAGTTATTTCACACGTTTTCACCCAATCTCCCGTTGATTCAGTTATAAAAGACCCAATAAAATAACTTGGTGATGCAAAGGTCGGAATAAATTGTACCAGAAACCATTATTATATACGGAGTAATATATTCCGATATCGTGTATTTTAGTTGCAGCGTTTACTATATATATTTCAAATAATAATATCCATAAGCGTAGCCCGAAAACGTGATCTAAAATCTGACCGACGTTATTGATGTTGAAGGTTTCCCCGGTAATCAGTTGTTTGAAGATGAAATGTGAATCTGTGTTCAGAGTGTATAAGTCCCGTGAAGATCCGGGTTAGAATTGGTCTTCAGCAACCCATGCTTGTATAAGAGGTGACTAACGGGATCAGGTGGTCAGGTTCACTGACTTGGTTG